TAATGGACGTCATACTAAACTCCAAATTATACACAAGAAACTAAAATTAAAAATGATACAAGACTAACAAAGGCCAGAGGCTCCTGACTTGGGACAGGCGCAAAAATGCGGCGGGGTTAAACATGTTTTTTGAGATCTCAACCCTCCCCCTATACGCTGTATCACTACATTAGCAAATTTTGATTTCGATTTTAAACGGAAAATATTTACTATGATGTTATACAAAGATCATGTTAGAGAAATCTCATCAAAGGTACCATGCTTATAATTTGATATGCCAGACATGCATTTCTAGTATACAAAACTTGTCCTTGGCGCTTGATTAAAAACTGGAATGGAAGGCCAATGCAATTACGAAGCTGAAGATTATTAAAAACATAACCGTCAGAAACGACATCAGTTTGTACCAAGTACCAAGTCAGGAATATGATAGTTGTTTTCCATGTGTTTGAGGTTTTGATTTTGCCACTTGATAAGAGACTTTCCGTTGTTAAGTTTCTTTGGAATTAGGTATTTTTGTTAATTTATTTTTTGTATTTTTGTACTTTTAGATTACACGTCACAAATCATTTTTAAAGCAGATTATACTTTGTTAAATATATTCTTTCTACTAAAGAGTGAAATGACAAATAAAGTTATGTGTTCAATTTTTCGTTTATCCTTAAAAAGGATGGCACTAGGGACTGTTTGATTATTAACATGTTCACCATGTACAACAAAGCAAGTTTACGATAATGACTTAATTGAGTCAAAAAATTTAAAGATGTAATTTAACTACTTTTATAAGGGATATACTCATAAAGAGAATCCATTTCTTTAAAGTACGTTAGAAATATATTTTTTCATATTCGTTTTGAGAATATCATTATAGAATTAATATGATTCTCAGAAGATTCTCTATTATTATCCTAGATTTTGTGAGGTTTGTTTTGCTCAGTCCTTGGTTTTCTATGTTATATTTTGTAGATTTTCTTTTCGTCGTTTCTCATTTTTTGCTAACATGGTACATTATGTATTGACGGGTTTTCTTCGATGCATGATTTCTTATTGTCCTTTTTTATCTTCCAACTCTTTGTTTCACAGTAGTGAGTAGAAACCTGTGATAAACAAATACTAATGGGGCATCCGAAAACCATGAGTCAATATACACAGAAAACATCATACACTTTATAGTGTACAAAATACTGTAAAGAAAAACAGTCTACGACATACTGTAAACAAAAATAACAAATAAACCACACGAACCCTACGAATAAAAGGTTGGTGACTTAAGGTTCACCCACCACATTCTATATGTGCTTGTTCTAAGTCAGGAGCCTGTAGTTATGTGGTTGCGTTGGTCTGTCATATTTAGTTATTCGTATATTGTTTTGTCATAAATCAGGCCGTTGGTTTGTTCGTTTTAATTCTTTTAAATTTGCCATCTCGGTTCTTTCATAGCGGTCATTGAGGTATGGGTTATGCTCATTGTTGATGGCCGTATGGTGACCGAAAGTTGTTTAAATCCTACCTGTACTCACTCTCTTATCTTTTATAACTCTGCATAGCAAATGATCATCAGAGTGATGTGGAGATATTTTATGAGAATACATACATCTATATTTAAGACATCATTTAAGTCTTGCTTTTGACTTTTGTCCAGATATTCGGAATCCTCTAGTTTTATCCATGTAGTGGCTATAAAATATTTGCCCGCTAACCCCTACTGTTCTATTCAAAATGTTATTTCAAATATTTTAAAAATCAATTTTCGAAATCTTATATATTCCTTGTTATTTTACATAGTTTTTTAAAAAAAAAGAACCAATGTTAAATGCATGAATAATCTAGAGAAAATCTTTTCCCGCCAAATTTTCAATGGATTATAATTCAAAAAACAAGAATACGGACCTTTCAATTTTTCTGCTTTTTAAGTTTCGCTATTCATATACTATCAATGTATAACAGTCGTTTGAAAAGCTTGGTATTTTGATACAGAGAAGAGAACATCAATAAGACATAATTAAAGATCAAAGCTATCTCAGGACACTGCTAATCTGCTTAATGTAATATCTTTAAGACTTATATGTTCTCTATCGAAGGACATGAATATTTACGCAATAAAAAACATTAAACATGTAAAAGATAAACAACATTTCTTCGGTTTGTGCATATTGATTCAATTATTAATTAGATATATAGTTACATTGAAGATAATAACAGACAATAATAGAAAGATATTAATTTCGAGTGGCACATACAATGTACTCTACAGAATTTTTAAACTTACGTTTCATTCTTTCTATCAGTTTGTGATTCCATATTGATAAATTTGATGATAAGACAAGTCAAGATAAATGAGATAAGACGGAAAATAGGCAATGATAAATTAGTGTGTTTTTGTTAGATGTTTTTCTAAGTTCAAAGACATGAGAACAAAAGGAAACAAATCAATGGATTGCAATTCAGTACATCTGTTTTTGTTATATAAACAAAACAAACACACCGAGCTGTAAGTGTGTAATAAACATTATAATCAAATGCACAAATCTAGTTTTGTGTAAATACGCGTATTACTCTACGGTTAATAAGTTTGTGAGCGTCACATAATTCTCCACGTGATCTATAAGTTTATGAATAGATATAAATTACACAACTATTAATCTATAGTTTGTATTGTTTTATTTCAACCTATTGAATCGTTATTGATAACATCACATAACAGTATGTACTCAAGATCATTCGATTATTGCACTTATGTATTACATATTTTTATTTGTATCTGTTTTTTTATAGATGAAATAATTTTATTCAGTACTCAAAGCATCATCACCAAAAAGGTCATAAATTGATCGTAATATTGGCTTACTTAGTGAAAGAATACAAGAAATCTGATTTTTTTAAAAAGAAATCTTGATTACAACAAATTTGTATCATCGTTTGTGTATATGTTTCCATGCCTACCATTTACTGTCTACGATATGATAGTAAATTGAAACAGCCAAAACAAATTATGACGATTAGATGACATTCAATATATTTGTAGTTTACGACTGTTATGAACACAAAGCGTTTGAAGGGAGTCGTATTAGGATCGACAAAACATACACACTTAAACATAGAACTTTTGTACTATACTTCATTCACCTGTGTTTATCTTATTTCGTATGTTGTGTTGTTTTCGATAATGTCTTATAACATTGTATATAAAAATGTATTCTAGAAATTTTTACCATGATTGACATGAAATTTAATTTAAGTATTTGTTTTAGATTATTTCACTTCGTCTATAGGACTTGCACATATCACTGCAAACATAATAGTAAAAAGTAAAATGTGTGAGCAACCACATTGGGAAACTAATCAATTCACCTGTAGCAAAGTAGCTCTCTTTTCCTAGATTATGGAATCATCGAATGGGACTTACCAATGAATTTTTACTTACCGTGAACAACATGACGGGTATCATAAGACGAACAGGATCTGTCAAGCCTTTCGGAGATTCATCGAATTCGTGTTGCCCGGTCTATGTGATTTGTATGTTTTGTTTTGTGACCCTGTTTGTCTTTTCGTCATCTTTTTATTCACTCTTCATTTTTTGCCATAGTTTTGTCAGTTTCTCCTTGACAAATGAGTTTTGAATGTCTCCTTAATATCTTCCATTTCTTTTATGTAATAAACCCTTTTCTAAACAGCTGATATAGCTACAAATGTAGCTGTTTTCCTATTTTCAAAAAATCGTTAGATTTACTTTTCTAGTTGCATGTGCAGTTGCCTTTAGAGTGTCTTATGAAGGTAAATCCAGAAAAGCGCTTAGGTAGTATGAAATTTATAAAGTGTTGTGTTCTTTGTTTGAGAGTGCATATCTATATACAAAGTATAATATTTATGCTTCTATATAAGACCTGTTTCTATCATTCAATCTCATGCCAGATTAACTTATGCATTTTGTTTAGAAATCGTTTAAATGAATAAAACAGTAATACCAAACCTTAGGTAAATATGCAGCAATTTAAGAGATGCGACCAATATCTGACTATGTTGGTGGAAGTATGGTTTAATGATTTTTAAAAAATAGTAGATATCAAAGGATAGTTAAAATCCTAAACAAAGAAACTGAAACAGACAAACAACATTCCACACCTCAATACAATACTACAGAGAAAACATCAAAAACAGCCTCTGTTCAAAATGTGTTTAAAAACCTCATTCTGTTATGCGCACTGCATATAAATTAATATCGAAAATGCACTATATCATTTTAGATTAGCTCGTGCATAAAAATAATACTTTAAGCATTTGGTGAATTAAAGTCCTTTTATGAATTAACCTTCATCAGGGGTACTCAAATCCAATAATTGAAAGTAAAAAATGCATAAACACCTCAAAATTCGAGGAACTGTTTGACCGTGACAGTACCTCAAAAGAATAACCAAATCTAGATAAAGTTAACTTTTGCTGAGGGAGGAATGTACTTTCCAACATTTAGAATGTAAGAATGTCGCACGATTTTATGATTCGGAATGGTGTCTATTTGTGCAGCATAACAACGAAATGGTAACACGAAAAGTTCCAGAAGCCGAGATGGACGGTCTTGAGAAAGGTTTTTCCAGACATTCACGATATATGTTTTTGTTGGTACATTTTGTATCTTAGTTTTTATTGACCATTGTCATTGTCATAGTAATCTTATCTTTTCTGCTGAAAAACATATTGGGTTGTTTACCGAGGTACTACGAACAAAAAGTTTAAAGACACTTATACCTCAATTTGCAAATATGACTTAAATTTAAATCAGAAGTTTTTACCAGATGAATTCGATTGTGTTCCGTAATGCCCTTTATATGCAGAATATATGCAAAACAGCCATGTGAACGAAAGAGACGCCTTCCAGCCTATATTTTTTTTTATTAAAGTTACGATATTCTACTTTAAACATGATGGATCAATGTCCTTCGTAATGCTTTATATATAACAAGTGCCCTTAGTGTAGAGTCTGATTAATTGTCAGTTATTACTTGCTCTTAACCCCTAAACAGTTTACACGAAATATTTATTTGATTATTATTATATGTACATGTGTTGCTATGTACATTAGTGTAGTTGTGTTGGCGTCTAGTGATCACCGGATATTCATCGAGTAGGTAATACTAAGTGAAGAATTCGAACTGTTCTAAAAAGGTTATCACATATAACATGTATAATTTCATTTTATTCAAACAACCAATTTAATTAGTAATGTGCTTGTAAGTGAAAATCTTTATGATCATCACCCAATGCGTTTGCAGCAATACATCTGTAATCTCCGTCATCACGAGGTAAAAAGTTGGATATTGTCAGTACATGTGTAGTCGGATCTACTGCCACATTTGAGCCCAATAAGCCACCCTGCAAATATATTATTTAAGTTCATTACATGTTAAAATAGTATTCAAGAGAATTTGATAACTTAAATTTGGACATAAACCTGAATAATAAGTCTCAAAGGTTTAAAATTCAATCAAATACCAATTCTAATGCAATTATTTTGTATCAATGGTTCTGATTGGATGACAGTAAGCGTACAATTCTCTATCTCCTTGTCTGTAACTAAGGAAGCCGACATTTTGAATTGCGGAATGTATTGACATGTAATTTTTACAATAATAAGCAAAAAAACTCACATGTTGCACCTAGAAATCTTCTTTTTATCAAATTTTATTACATTCTGAAGCGGACAAGAAGCCAGAAAACGCCCGGTGTTTACGTTTGACGCCGGAAGCATACCTATAACGTCACCTAGTTTTGGGGCCAAAGAAGATAACATCTTTTCGCGGAATTTTCTTTAATGAGAATTTTACACTGAAATAATGATTGAAAATGAATTATGTACTTGTTTTACATTAGAATAGAGATAACTGTATTGTATTTGAAGCTTTGCGGACGTCCATCGGTAGTTGTACTGTCGAAAATACCCGTTTACCTGTCTACGCTACGCGTCGCCAGGTAAACTAAATTTGCGAGAGTACAACTACCGATGGACGTCCGCAAAGCTTCAAATACAATACAGTTATCTCTTAATTATATTTCCATCAAATTGATCTTTCAGAATATAAAGGACTATGGATGATCTTATTATCGCACCCCAAAACGAAAATAACGTCACGTCATTGGTTGATTTTTTTATTGTTTAGGACGTTTTGAACCAATCACTACGTTTTGGTGTATCAATTTTAGATATTACCCTGAATGCATTAGATTTTTAAGCGGCAAATTGTGACCATAGTGGAGCAAATGCAAATGAATATTATCAAATTTGCATTATTTTCGATAAACTTTGTCAGAGTGTTTTCTCTTTGCTGGAAATTTGCCATTTAAAGTGTTATTTGCATGAAATTACGAGGATAAACAAACGACTTATGAGTTTGAATGTCCCTTTGGTATCATTCGCCTCTCTTTTGCATTTGTGTTTGTGGTGAAAAATTACATTTGTAAACATATAATTTGAAGGATTTTCTAGATAAGTTTATGTCTATACTAAAATATTACACAAAAACTATAAACTTTAATGCCACTCTCTTTCATACCCAGTAGAAACTGTATATCCAAGATCAAATGTATGAGGAGCTTTTTAGGAGGTCTTTATTATCCTAAATCTATATTGTCAATTCATTAATGTATAAAAAAAACCCAAACATTTAAGATACCAGGCTGATAACATTGTACAGTGCAAACTTAAAAAAGTCGGAAAATGCAGATTTTCCTTTTGAACTGAAAGGTACGACTACGGACTATTACTCTAAGACCAACACCCAATATTATCAAAGCTACACATACTATGTAATGTTACACTATACTAGTACAAAATAACTTAAAGTATAATTATTCTGATACATAAACACGATGCACCTTTTGTATACGATGAATACTTTATCATTAATGGGTAAGCAGCATGACAATAAAAAATATCATATAGGTCAACAAAATGTTTAATTAATGGAAATACTAAAGTGAGCATGTAACCATGTTAATATGAATAAATTAGTACAATGTCTTTTGAACAGAGTACTGACAATAAATATATATGCAAAGAAGAAGTCATTCAGAAACCGGTGTTTTAACGGGATAGAAAAAGAAAAGAAAAAAGTGTTTACCTTAACCATGAAATCTATTGTTGGGTTAGGATTTCCTGACGCAATGCATTGGATCGAAACTGTATCGCCATATTTGATACTGGTTGGATGCTGATTAAAGTGTTGAACAATTGGGGCGGTCTCTGAAAAATAAAGGATAAAACACGTGAAAATGTTAACGGAGCAGAATTATTGACTTCCCGTCTTCGTTGGTTTTTAAATTTGAAAATATAACTGCCTCGACTTGAGAATTATCGTATCAAACTCAATGCAGTGGTTTGAATCTTTTTTTTTCTTATGATTGTGGACTGTTATCTATTTCTCACATGAAAAGATATTTCTCGAATCACGTTGCAAGTGATACTAAAAATGTGTTAATTTGATTGGCTTATCGAGCATCATGAAAAGATATTGCGACTTTTCATTGGTTATTCGTTAGGTCATTGATGAATCTATATACCACTACAGTTTCTCGTGCAGTGTAAGCTATCTCCACTCTCCACGTTCTAGAGGAACAAGTCAGGAATATGACAGTTGTTTCCGTTCCTTCCTTTGGTAAATATAGTCGAGCGTTTTATTTTGTCAGCTATTATGGAATTTCCTCTTTTTGGTTTTATTTTAGAGTTCGATATTTTATACCTTTTTGTCCCAAAATACATCTGCTTTCAATAATGTATTGTATAGAAATAAAAAGAAATGATGAATGTTTACATTTCAATCTCTTATATGCAAGCTTTATTTTCAAATACTAAAGTTCAAAAAGTAATAGTATTTAAACAACATATTGGAACTATTTTTAAAAATGTATATTGTCGTTTGTTGCTGTATGTCATATTTGTTTTCGTTCATTATTTTGTACATAAATCAGGCCGTTAGTTTTCACGTTTGAATTGTTTTACATTTGTCATTTCGGGGCCTTTTATAGCTGACTATACGGTATTTGTTTTATTCATTGTTGAAGGTCGTAAGGTGACCTATATTGTTAATTTTTGTGTCATTTGGCTTCTTGCGGAGAATTGTCTCATTGACAATCATCTTCTTATTTATATATATATATTCAAAATGTTACAAGATTTTAAATATTATGTTATGTCTATGTAGAGTGTTTTTTTTAATGTTTAAGTATTTTATTGTTATGCTGAGTTCTATTAATATACGTATTAATAATCTTGCCTGTTAAGCGCCAGTTCAATTAAGGATCATTAGCATTATTTCGTTTGATCAAATGCCATTGGGGATCTCTCTCCCCTATGTGCCCATTCTTCACTGATGCGAAATTTACATGTAGCAATACTCAATCAATCAATAAAGTTACATCTAATTCCGTATAATATCAAAATACGTATTACATGAAAGATCATTGATATGTTATCTTTTTGAAAATTTACAGTGTGAAAATGTTGAATTATTCGACACACTTAACGATGGCTTGCCTTAGTCGCATTTTGCACATTTGTTTGGAATTTTCCATTTTTGATTATCTGGACTTCCTTTATAGTGTGGCTTTGTATGTTGTAATGTTACCCTTCTGTCTCGGATTAGGGTGATGGTTGGTGCCTGTTAAAACGTTTAAACCCGCTGCATTTTCATGCACCTGTCTTAAGTCAGGAGCCTGTTGTTCAGTGGTTGTCGTTTGTTGGTGTGGTTCATAGGTGTTTCTCGTTTCTCGTTTTTTATATAGATTAGACTGTTGGTTTTCCTGTTTGAATTGTTTTACACTAGTCATTTCGGGTCCCTTTATAGCTTGCTGTTCGGTGTGAGCCAATGCTCCGTGTTGAAGGCCGTACTTTGAACTATAATTGTTTACTTTGTTTACATTGTGACTTGGATGGAGAGTTGTCTCATTGGCACTCATACCACGTCTTCTTATTTATATTCTAAATGTTTTAATTTATGTCCCACTGATTAGTCTAATGTAGAGAAAACTCGTGGCGTACCAAATTAAACAGCCTGGTACCTTGGATGAGGTATTACAAGGACAACTTACGAAGAATAGGCGTTGTTGGTGCAATGGTGGTAGTAGTAGTAGTAGTTGTTGTAGTTGTAGGAGGAGCTATTGTGGATTTAATGGTACAGTTACGGTTACATAAGTCCGTGTCACAACAAAATGAACAGATTCCTTGTGGATTACTTTGCGCAATTTTTGCACATTGCTGAAAAAATCAATTGTTCACGTATAGTTTGATATATATGTTTTCTTTTAAGGTGGACCATCGGTATATATTTCCTAAAATAGAATTTTCTTATACTTTGTCAAAAAACATAATAAAAACTATGAGTCACAGTGCTATTTTTTAAGCTACAAGTCGTGCAAAATTACCCAAATTTGCATAGATTGTTCATGAAAAAACACATTTTTGCAAATAAAAAGAAATCCATTGAGAGAGAATTTTGAAATTAATTATGAGAAGATAGGTTTTATAATATTCTTTAAGATAATGAAAAGGAAAAATAGTGTCACCGAACTTGTTTTCTTGCTACAAGTCAAAAATGAAAATTTCGCTATCATTCCAGTATACAATTTTTACTACAAGAGTTATCTCCCCTTAAATGGCAAAGTTGAAAACTTAATTCTAAAAAAAATATTGGTATTTGTTTTAACATTGTGGATAATGCAATAAATCACTTATTTTTCTTTATACAAACAAACAGTCTTACACACCAATTGCAAATCTGTCTCAAAATTTGCAGATTTAGGCAAAGAATTAGACCGATTGTGTACTGCTATTGTACAATCCAAGATGGCGGTATACAGTGAATCTACCTAAAGTTACATTTCATTGTTCTCACGGTTTACAATATCATTTGTTTTTATTCCATACCCCTGATAATTCATATTTATAAGCATTAAAGCTGTGTTTAGGGAAAAACCAGAGTACTGCATAAGCTGTTAAGGGACTTCTTGATCTTGTTGTAGTTGTAACCAATAAAGCATAGACAAAGACTTGTTATCAACAGTGATGATGCAGAAGTGCAAAATAAAAACAGCATTGCTCTGTTGATATTCTTGTGTAGCTATACATGGTGTATTGTTTTGAATTTTGGACACCTGGTATTTTTTTGAAGTGATTTTGAAAAAAAAACTTTTGAATGATTTATACAAGATTTTGAGTGGTCCGTAGGTGGCCTGTTGCAAGGATTATAAAAGAAATGATTTCAAAAGGAGTTCATGTTGAAATACGTTTGACAATGTTTAAGCAAATAAATTCTCTCTAAGTTATTCACATACATACAAAACAATCAACGAAAAACAGATATGATATACAGCAACAAACGACAACCAATGAATAACATGTTCCTGACGTGGAATATGCATACACAGAATGTGGCGGGTTAAACATGTTTGCAGGTACAGGCGCTCCAACCATTCCCCGAACCTGGGATAGACTAAGTGACAAACTCATCGTAACATATGCATATAGACTTAGAATTGTACAAAAGTATATGTACATGTTTCTAAAGGGACATTAGCTACGAGATGTGAAAACAATTAGAATATCATTTTGTTTGGTTCAATCAATAATAAAAGTAATAATTCGCTTTTAATTCGCAAGTCAGGAATATGACAGTTGTTATCCTTTCGTTTGATGTGTTTGAACTTTTGATTTTGCCATTTGATTGGGGACTTTCCTTTTTGAATTTTCCTCGGAGTTCAGTATTTTTGTGATTTTACTTTTTAGCAGCCAATTTGGTTCAATTTTGTCAAAATAAGCAAAGAAACATCGCTGATGAATTATTCACTTGCAAGTGAATAATTCGACCCCATTGAATCCGTATTCATGTGACCTTCAATTCAACCAACTAGCTAGAGATTGGTTACTCATGTATTAGTCGTGTTCAGCCATTTAAAGGGAAACATTAAAAGGAAAAGAATGTCAACATTGAAAGTGAAATAAAGGTGAACTATTTCGTTGACTGATTTGATCCACAAAAAATAATTCTTATACAGGTGAAAACCATGATTAACTTATGTTATTAGCCTATAACATGAAATCACATAGACCAAGAAAAATCCAATTGCACGAGGTCGCTATCTATTTAAATCTATGTTTATGTTTATATCGGGTGATGTGACCGTCGGAAGTCTTCGGAGATCATCTCGGTAGTTAGTAGATGGCGTCTAGACTTAAATACACACGAAATTCTGATATATATTATCGAGTACATGCATTGTTAACTGTTTATTTCAAACTAATTGTAATATGGATATACGTTTTAGTATGTTATAAATCAAATATGAGAATTTGAGTCAAATCAGTGAATATGAATTTGACAGCTAATACCCCTTTAAGTATAAGAAAAGCTATCATGAAGAGAAAAAAAAAGGAGATTTCACGTTGACAAAGCTTGACTAGATTGGCATTGTTTTTTGTGCCTTTATTAATTAGATCATTAATATCCCCTCCAACCCCAAATTATTTGTATACACCTTCATGGGCCCTTTGAATGTCTAAATGTTTGTATTGTTTCTGTATTTCACAGTGAGAATATCGGGAAATTTATGATAGTATTTGTTAGATTTCTTTGCCAGATAAAAGTTATAATTTGTTGATATTACTGCGGAGCTGTGTTCTTCAATTCACAACTGTCGTGTGATTGATATCTAGCAAAATAATTTTTCAATCGATGTTAAGGGCATGCATGAATGTGAGAGCGTGTTGCTTCATGTTCAAAACCCTCACTGTGACTTTGAGATAAAGAACAGAAATAAATCATTGCTCCTTTTTTGTTCTTTTTGTGTTTTTATGTACGCGTAGTGCTTTTGTGTGAAGAATTTATGCAACGATAGCATGCTCTTTCTTCTTCAATAGCTTCCTTAAAATCTTTCTACATGCAACATACCGATTTCTCTGAACAACCGTGAGTCCAACGAGGTTGACCAATCAGATTTCGTGTTTGTTTTATAGAGCATGCCTGTAATATAAAAAAAAACAAATGGAAAATATAAACAAATAAGGTCAGACTTACAGTTAGGGTTATGATCTAACAGTTCCGTAAGAGGATCCCTTGTAAAAAATCAGATTTATCTAGAAGTAGCATTCCATTTGAGGAAATATGGTTCTAATTTGTTTTAATTTGCTTAAGTTCGTATTAAAATGTTCATGGTTAAGTATTTTTTTTACCGGATATTAACTTTAAGGGACTTTTATTTCCGAGGACTGCATCATGCCCATTATAAGTAACAAAAAAAAATGAAGACATTTTCACATTGCGTGCACAACTGTGGTCGGAATTCTTTGATACAAAAAACATATGTTGTATTACAAAATGAAAATTGGCTTAATAGCAATTTATCAGAATTTTGATAATCAATCTCAACGTTTGAGTGTAACCTTTGGAAATTACCAATAGTGAATTGGATTATGAAATGCTGAATTACGTATCTTCGGTTCACTTTCGATTAAATTTACCAAACTTAGGTATTAAACTAACGAAAAACGATATATTTCTTGTGTTTCAGTCATACATTACCGAATCTTGGTCACATAATGAAATATGATTGCATTTATTAGCATCCATTGCCAGAGGGCAGTCATAGCATATGTTTGATCCTATGGGAAGTGTAACAGCTGTAACAGAATAAAGATAATTTAATACTCTTTCATTTGAGACAGCAAGTTGTGTGTTTCATTACATATGTTTATGATTACCACTTACCAATATCCTTTTGGAATTTTGGGTCTTCAGTGCTCTTCAACTTCGTACTTTATTTGGCCTTTTAAAATTTTTTTGATTCGAGCGTCACTGATAAGTCTTTTGTGGACAAAACGCGCGTCTGGCATCCAAAATTTTAATCCTGGTATCTATGATGATACTGTTTTCTGGTATAGATGGCAATTTTTTTTAACCTGTGCATCAGAACTCATGCACTTTATTGGCATGCAATTGATCATTAAAATGCTTAGTTGTATGATTAATTGCGTTTATGAAAAAATATTAATGTCATGCAATATGATAAACGGTAAGCACACTTGCAATGTAATTTCAGAGAAAATATGGGGATCAGTCTTCTTTGTCATTGCATTTAGTGGCTTTGGAATATCTAATTTGTGCAAATGATAATTTCTAGCTATGTTCATGAAACTATTCAGAAGTTCGACCCGGATTCAGTTAAGTTCATGTGCTTGCGACTTTAGATTTCTATATACGACATGTTTTGTGGACTATTCTTCAACGCAAGCACAACATCTCCTTATGTCAACAGTTTGATTATGATCAATACTTTCTTTTATACAAAGATATATCGATGAAAATCTGAAACGACTATGACAAAAAATAAAAACTGTCTATGAAATACATCAAAGCAAACTAAAAACTGAGCAACATGAACCACACTCAAATTTGAGGTTGATTTCAGATGCTCCGAACAGATTAGCGGATCCTGCTTTTCATCTGATACCCGACGAACAAAATTATAATTAAGGGTAAGTATAAGGATACAAAAAACAATATAAACTAGAAATATCTGTATCAAGTCAGGAATATGACAGTTGTTTTTCCATTCGTTTGATGTGTTTGATCTTTTGATTTTGACATTTGATTAGGGACTACCTGTTTTGAATTTTCCTTAAAGTTTGGTATTTTTATAATTTTATTTCTTGAATATCATTTAGATTCCAGTCTTTAGTGAGAAAAGAGATATTTTCCTCACTGACATTTTTCGTTAATTTTGTTAATCTTTATACGTTTATAATCAACAACGACATATCTTAACTGACCTGTCAACAGTTTATATTCCAGTTCATTCATCAACAATTTTAGTGAGATAAATTCACAGTACAATGATTATTAATCAGTCGTTGTACTGCATTTGATGTTTTTTTTTTATAATATATATATATGTCAGATTATCTATTGTTATTCATTTGTTAAAGTTTGTATTTTCATTCGTCCTATTTTTTCATTAATAATATTTTGTTTTATTGAATATTTAAGAATTCATTGTCCTAAGTTTAATTTAAGTTTTATAAAGGAGTAAAATTCGCTTGTTCGGATGTTGGAGGATTTAATAAATATATCATCGTTTCTCCATCAAACAAACTTGTTAGAAATTTGTTATGTAAATACGTAAAAAGTAAAATAACAAAAATACCGAACTCCAAGGAAAATCCCGACTTTGTAAAGGCATTTCCTTTTGTAGAAAATGGTGGATTAAACCTGTTTTTATAGCTAGCTAAACTCTCACTTGTATGACAGTTGAATAAAATTTCATTATATTGACAACAATGTGTGAACAAAACAAACAAACATAATAGGAAAAATGTCAAACATTGGGGTATACCAGTCAATATAAAACTGATAAAAGTATGATTTAAAATCTGTATGATATAAATAATACACTTGAACTGTTTCCACCGTTAAGAGCTTGGCTTACCTACTCCACACATGTTCATATTGCATAAATCTTTATCATCACAGCAATGGTGGCAAATAATAGTTGATTCACGTTTGCCTACAAGTGGTTTACCTATAATTGGTCTAACTATCGATGGGTTGTTTCTTGCACATAACTGGAATATGAGAAATAAATAAAACATAACTGATGTTTGTTACAGTCAAATCAGTATATAAAGGTCAACTTCGGAACCAACGCAAACTGACCTCATAAGAGAAGTTACTTTTTAATGGGGTTTATCAATGCATATGAATTTCTACAGCGGGACAACAACATGAGGTTGACGTGATAAATAAAGGCAACAGTAGTATACCGCTGTTCGAAATTCATAAATCGATTGAAAAAAACAAATCCGGGTTACAAACTAAAACTGAGGGAAACACATCAAATATAAGAGGAGAACTACGACACAACAGAAACACAACATTAAAATGTAACACACACAGAAACGAACTATAATATAACAATGGCCAAGACAGACTTTCACTTAAAGTCATATGAAACCTCAAATTTAAAAAAAAAGTTGAATATGTTTTATATACTTGAATGGCTAAGTTGTATTATAAATCAAATGTACTTCTATTGAATTAGTGTCTTCACGTATACAAATTCGTCGATATTTTTCTGTATTCAGTGACCTTAACTACAAGACCTCTCGTTAGACCTTCGGCCACCGCACAGCGCAAGTGCGAGGGAAAACCGTGATGTCAGTATGTAAACAAACGTGCACTGGAAGGTAAATAGCAATGATTGATTCTTAAAGAACAAATTAAATACACAAAATCGTTTACCAACAGTTATTGAAAAGTTTATTAAAAACATGGAAACGCATAGAAATATATATAAAAAAATTGACATCACTCTTTCAATTCATTTATTTTTTTACATGTTCCACGTGCTTCTGTGTTGATTGTTTATCAATGTAACGATCCGGTGAAATTCGGCAACAAACTCAAAAGTTAATGAGCTTGCGATCAACATTCACCAAATAAAATATTATGCGTCGATTATATGATACATATTCGTCATTAATGTAAAAAAAAGTGCATACAGGACTTGTTTTAGTATATATGCATGATTTGGTTCAAATACTTCCTGAACATTAAAATTTTTTGAAACTCGTTCTATATGACTTTAATAGCGATGATCTTTATTATCGGTTTGACTGTATTTATTTTGCTGACGTAGTAATATACCCAACTGGAATATGAAGGACAAAATAAAATAAGTTGTTATTTGACGTTGCCTATCTTGTTACAGCCGAATTATTTTTGATGCATCACAAGAATTTAGATAATTATTTTTTTCTCTATTTTGTACTTAAAATATTTTTAGAAATTAGAGGAATAGTTTAGTAAGCTAACATCTTTATAGTATGGTATCTACTGATACCAAATAATGTATTTTTAAATAATTACATATTTTGTCAACAAACTTGTTACTTTCTGATACCTTATCACAAAGATTACAATCGACATTTCATAACAATGGAAGACCTTAAAGTTCCAAAATATTGGAATGACAGATCTAAAAATTTCAAAATCGAAAGGGGGTCTTACTGTCACCAATTCAACTGTAGAAAGTGTCCAGTATATCCATCCAAGCATTTTCAATTAAAGCTAAAATCTTTATATTATGGGATCTTCTTATACCAACTGATTTATTTTTAAATAATTATATATTTTGTCAACAAACTTATAATTTTCCGCTACCTTATCACAAAGATTGCAATCGACATTTCATAGCAATGGAAGACCTTAAAGTTTTGAAACTATACTTTTAAACCTTTGTTGGTGTCAGATGATTTGATATGTATGCCCTGATTTGGGGTCTATATATTTCTACATCGAAGGACATATTTTGCTTCAAAAATACACTTATACTCATTTTATGTTAATTAGTTAATATAAAGGAGAAGGTCCGGTAAGGGCTTATTTTGGCCTAAAATTTGAAGTACATCTGATGAAAGATTTCTGACATTTTTTAAACACTTAAGTGCCTTCTTCAGTCGATTCAATTAGTTTATGTTGAAAATTTGAACTGATTTGGTCATTAAAGACGCTCAAATTCAAGCTTAAATATGAAAAATCTATCAAATATGCCATGAAACGTCACTTTTCAGATGGTTTTTGTCTAAAATGGAAGTGGCCGCATTCGTGTTCAGTCTCAACATTTATATATGTTATGTATTATCATTAAATACAACATATATTTAAATATTAAGACTGAAAACAAGTGCGGCCACTTCCATTTTAGACAAAATCCGTCTTAAAACTAGCACAAATGCTAAAACTGTGAAGATTTCAGTATTTTTGCATGAAATAATGATGCCAGTACCTGATGCATGTCCATTGTATTGTCGAAAACAGCCCATATTTATTTAACAAAAGTATTCTACTTTTCATACAATAGCTAAAAGTTTACATTTTAACAACTTTGTAAAAACGATATGTTTTTGGGGCCTAAAAGGGGTCTTACCGGGCCTACTCCTTTAAAACAAAATTCATCCCTAAATTCCATATATAAATTTTCGTGATGTCTTTTTTGTTCTATTATATGTCATGATGGCAATCTCGTCTTGAATATTTCTTTTGATTATTTTGTTAATAATGTTCATCAACTTAATTGGTTGTGTCATCCTACTGTTAAAGAAGCCATGTGAAAACCATGAACTTTGGTAAATGTGATTCCGGATTTGTACTGGATTTGTTTTCTATTTAGTTTTAATTACAGATTGTACTTTTAAAGTAAGAGAACAAAATTGATGAAATCAATATTGTATAACGAACGAAATATGTCAATATACAAGTGTATATCTGACTTAGACTTTCTTGAATATATTTATAACAATAATTTATATATTCAATAGTTGCTTATAAATATTTAAAAGTTATCAGGTATTTTCTGTCAATAAACACTACATGCATTTTGATTTTTCGAACCCATCCTTTTTGTTTCACATCACAACATGAAAGTAAAATACCGTCATCAATATGTGTGTACCTTCGAAACATGCTCAATATAATGCATCAATTTCATGTGTAGCTAGGTGTATCACATGGACTATTCGTTACCCTATCAACGAATAATTGTGCTTTCTTTGGTTATCATAGCTTTATGTCGATTCATAAAAGATCTATTGCATGACATTTAGAATATTGCCTTTTATCAATCAAACGGTTCAAGTCCCATAACATTGGAATGACAGATCTGAACGTTTCAAAATCGAAATGTATTTTATTGTCACCAATTCAACTGTAGAAAGTGTCCAGTAAATCAAACCAAGCATACTCAAATAAGGGTACAACATGTGAAAAATTAACTTCATTCTGACAGTTAAAAGTCTCGTAACTCAAGATTAGTGATGGACATAAGGACGGACGAACTACGGTATACCATAATCTTAAGATATACATTTACGACCACACGAGTGAATATATACACAAAGTAAATGTATAACCCCTTCCCGATACTTACACATAAACCACATCTTACTTAAAAGTATGATACTACAAAGCCCTACAAAGCTTTTTAGAAAGCTAAAACTTGTAATGCATTAAGCTTGGTAAAATTGTAACTGATATAGTGTACCAATAGAAGTTACCTGACGGTCTTCACATCCAACGTTGAACAGTATGAGACCATCATTTGTTACGTATCTCTCCACTGAACAGATCTATATAAAGACAGATTAAATTTATATTTACTCCTCTTTCATGTGTCTTTAGTTAGTGTTGTTTGATCTTTTTTTCCTTGGTACGTGCATCTTATGTCGCGGTTGAAGACAAAACTGCTATGTCGGGGCGTTAAATTTTGTAGTTTCTTCAATCGGCGGAATCTTTTTTGAAAAAAAAAATAAAGGTTTCCTCTATCACCGAAATTTAAACCCAAAGTGAACCATTAAAAAGATCCCAAAAGTTTCATTACATATTCTTTTTTAAATTGTTAAACGCTCTTAGGGGATCACACATCAAGGGCGTCGGATATTCTGGTAGGAATATTTTACTTTGTATATGATCAGTTACTGTCATTATGAATTCATACAATGCTCTTCAACTTCGTACTTTATTTGACCTTTTTTTTCACTTTTTTTATTCGAGCGTCACTGGTGATTCTTTTTTAAACAAAAAGCGCCTCTGGCTTTTAAAATTTTACTCCTGTATATATGATGAGTTTATCTGAATAATGTTTGTGTCTTTTTATTTAAAAGTGGTCTAATTCATTCTTATTCATTTATCCTCGTCTTAATGTATGCATAGGAAGACTTAGTGTGTCAGTGAAAACACGTTATCACATTAATTTCTAAGTCAGGTTGTTTTATCCAATGAATATACACAAAAGCACAAAACTTAGTTTTAAAAGTTTTTGTTGCAGAATACAGTGAATATGTTACAATCCTCTATTATCTAAACATTTGATATGCACAATGAACTTGCAAAATGTAGATTTTTTGTTGTAGAATATGTTGACATTGACAGAGTAATCCATTACGTATACATTTAACTAATTATGTACAATGAAGATGCAAAAAAAAAAAAAAAAAAAAAGCTAAATTCACTGCTTTTTTTGTAGAACACATCGATATTTTCAAATTTATAAGTACGTACACATCACACATGTCATGCAATATGCTTCAGGTAATGTCATCCGATTTATACGACATTTCTTAATGTCAGGATGGCTTGTCTTAGTCACAATTTAACATTTATCACTTCCAAGTTGGATGTACGAAATATCAACTTAGAACTAAGCAATGTCAACTTGGATGTTAAAAATGTCAAGTTGAATATGAGGAATGGGAACTGTGATCTAAAAAATGATTATATGGAAGTGAAAAATATTAACTTGGAGGTAAGATATATAACTGCTAAATTAGAAGTTAGTAATGTCAAAATGAAAATAAGAAATTTTTAAAATAGAAAATGTCCCTACCAGTATTTGGTAGTTTTAGATGAGTAGCTTCAATACAACCTATTATTTGACAATCGCGTGATTGATTTATACGATCAATTGCTAAGGATATGGAAGGGATGTTCGCTTATAACAAAAACCCTCTAAATCTAGTCTTCGCAGTTTGTTCAATTCAATTTTTAAAATATGTCACATATAATTTTACAAATAGGTCACATACAATTTTACAATTAGGTCACATACAATTTTACAAATAGGTCACATACAATTTTACAAAAAGGTCACATACAATTTTACTTACCTCATGGTCACCACATTCTGTAACAATATCTGTATCAAGTGGTGATGTCAAACGAACACCCTCAAGGCATCGTCTTTTAGCATCTGCAAATATATTGCAAAAATAAGGTTACATTTCTGTTTAACATACTATAAGCAAACACATTAACTGTCTATACCAGAACAAAAGAAAACATGCTATGTATCAAACTTTTTTTGTGTAAAATCTGATAAATAGACAAATCCTATTTTCGAACATCGATAAACTACGGTTGCCACTAATTCATCACGACAAATCATTGAAACTTTGGAGGTTTTGCTAGCTATAAAACCAGGTTTAACCCACCATTTTCTTCGGAAAATGCCTGTACCAAGTAAAGGAATATGTCAGTTAATTGTCACTTGCTCCGTTGATTAATAGCTTTTGATTTTTGTCAGTTTTTATGAGATTCCCTTTTTTTAATTTGCATTGGAGTTCGGTATTTTTTATATAATTTTTTCCTACTTTTTTCAAATTAGAACGTTACTTCGTGTTTCGTACAATGAAATCTCATACTGTTTTCTTTAATCCTCGAGAGATTATTACATTCTATGACTGGTCCAAACAACGTATGTATCAAATAAAAGGCATGTGTACTCTGATGAATGCTTTGAAGGTTTATAATCTGTGAAAGTTTGCTTTCTATGAACAAAATATTGATATACGTCAAGACAGAAAATTTTTTTTTTGGTCAATAACAAGTAAATCTTAATGTTTAAATTTCATAATTTGGGAAATTGATGTTGGTGGAATATCTATTGCAGTCTCTGAAAAAAAAATATTCACAGCTTCTTTAAGATTCTAGAAGGTTGATGTATTGAATATACACTTGTTAATTGCTTGAAGACATTTTTAGTGTCGTTAGATTGCCACAGAGTAGAAACATAAGAGTACTTGCAGTTACTGATAGCTAGATAACTGCCCAATTTCAAGTAACAAATGAACCATTGTCTTAAAAACAAGAGTGTCAATAAGTACAGCAGTGGATTTAATGTGGAGAATTTAAATGCAATCAAAGAAAAACATGAACTAGTGCAAAGTCAATAGACAGGCTGTAAGACCAGTATTGTGAATATCTGGTTTACAAAGAAATATTTTATGTATTAACAATAAAATCAATGTTTAGTACCGATAAAGACATTATTCTTAAATCTTACTACAATTCCTAAATGATAAACTTTATGAAAAATTTATTCCAAGGACACAATTATTTGTATTGACTTCGTTTAGTTGAAATTTCTTTGACGAATAATCTTCAAAGAAAAATTTTACATACTAGGACCATTTGGTTTAAAATATATATTTATATCTGGCTTATACTATTGTTTTGTATCTAAAAATTCATCAAGGATACCAGCCTTATAAACGTAGTACGCCAAACGATCTTTTATTCTACAAAACACTCGTCAGTGGCGCTCAAATTAAAATGCTTAAAAGACCAAATTAATATTAAATTTAAAGAGCATTAAAAACCACAAATACTTCAAATTTATGCCCAACGCTAAGGCTATCTGTGCCTGGGGTAAAACAGCCTTAGTGTTTCGAATGATTTAAACATTTGAAATATTTGAAAACGATAACATACTTTCAAATATGACACGGATATCTCAAGGATGATTGATGAATTTCTGTTTTACTCCCTATAAATGATTAATTACTTGATTGCTGTTTAACGCCACTTTGAGCACTATTGATTTTTTTCGTGGAAGTCAGTTGGAGGAAGACGGAGTACCCTGAGAGAACCACCAACTTTCGGTAGGAAAACCGACAATCTTATTCATTTAAGATTAGAATCATACACACCGGGCATGTGCGGGATGAGAACTCAAAACCTCAGTGTTGTCAGGCAAGGGATACAATAGTTTGAGCACTTAGACCACTCAGCCACCCATATAAACGAATATCAATGATGATGCATTCAATTGTCATTTCCATTGCAAAAATTGAACATAACTGTATACTCACTTGCTACTGTTATCATCAGCCATAGAGATAAAAACCAATATGTATCTTAAACAGAAGAGAAACAAATGTATCTTACAACATGCGAAACATCGGCCGTTGAGGGGATTGAGATTTGATTTACTTTTCAATTGAGAATGTATACCAATGAGAGAATGAATATTTGTTGTTATTATATTTCATGTCAAATTGCGATTTTGATTGGTTAATACGAGGGAGACAATTTACTCTATCCTATGGTGAATACTCTATTACCTTTCACACGCTAGATCAAGTGTGCGCTTTATTAAATACGGATGGTTGTTATGTACAAGACGTCATAGTTGATTACTTTGAATTTGAAATTCAATAGACAGTTATAACAGAACATTCAGTATAAAAAATTAAATAACACTTATCTGAGAGGGTGATAGAGCAGATTGTTACCCCTCGAAAAGACATTGTCAACCTTGGCTTCGCCTCAGTTGACAATGTTTTCTCGGGGTAATAATCTGCTCTATCACCCTCTCAGCTATGTGTTATTTATATACTGCACATGATTGTGTGTTTATAGTATGTAGCAGTTTAATGAATTATGTGGAGACGACTAGAACTTGTACATTTTTAAAAACTTTTAAAATTATATAATATCAATTTAAGATTGCTTTTGCTAATTTTTCAACCACTTTATATACATATCTCATGTGATTGCAGCCTCAGAAATTAACTTTGGCGCCAGCAAACATGTTAAACCCCTTCACATTCTGTATGTGCCTGTCCCAGTAGTTCAGTGGTTTTCGTATGTTGCTGTATACCATATTTGTTTTCCGTTTATTGTTTTGTTCATAAATCAGGCCGTTGGTTTTCTCGTTTGAATTGTTTTCTTATGTAATTTCGGGGCCTTTTATAGCTTGCTATGCGGTGTGGGCTTTGGGGGTCGTACAATAATTTGCTATGCGGTATGGGCTTTGGAGGCCGTACAATAATTTGCTATGCGTTATGGGCTTTGGAGGCCGTACAATAATTTGCTATGCGGTATGGGCTTTGGAGGCCGTACAATAATTTGCTATGCGGTATGGGCTTTGGAGGCCGTACAATAATTTGCTATGCGGTATAGGCTTTGGAGGCCGTACAATAATTTGCTATGCGGTATGGGCTTTGGAGGCCGTACAAAAATTTGCTATGCGGTATGGGCTTTGGAGGCCGTACAATAATTTGCTATGCGGTATGGGCTTTGGAGGCCGTACAATAATTTGCTATGCGGTATGGGCTTTGGAGGCCGTACAATAATTTGCTATGCGGTATGGGCTTTGGAGGCCGTACAATAATTTGCTATGCGGTATGGGCTTTGGAGGCCGTACAATAATTTGCTATGCGGTATGGGCTTTGGAGGTCGTACAATAATCTATAGTTGTTCACTTCTACGTCATTTGGTCTCTGGTGATGAGTTATCTCATCGGCAATCATACCACTTCTTCTTCTTTTTATTTTTATATATATTGTGTAAAAATAGTAGCAAGATCGAAACTATAGAAGTCTATATACGAATCAAAGCAAACATGATGTACATGTATACTTAAATCATTTTTTGTTTGTATAATGTATGTAATAACAGGTTCGATTTTTATAACTGAGATCAAGTTCTGGGGTGATCCGTGATTGCTTAATGATCTGAGAATGATTTTAATAACTTCAATCATTATAAAAATAACTGATTTCTATAAGAAATTAAAACAGAGAGTATATAAAATAAAAAACAAAGGATGTGGGGTACCCATCCATGACACAAAATCAGTACATGCATAGCAAAAAACACAAAACGCAAAGGAACAGAGTTTTTATTGCCGTTCTTCATCTAAAAGTCACAGTATGTAAACCTATATGCTAAACTTGTAACTTTGAAAAGAAGTCTTGTTGAATAAATTTATCACAGATTCACATACTATCATTATAGCTCGACATTTCTCCTGTACTTAAAGTTTGGTCGTTATCTTTTATACATATTATATAATATATCTGCCCTAATTGTAATATACATTATATCTTTGATATAAACAAACCATTGTAGAATTATTCATGCAGTCGTAAATGATCACATAAGCTCAGAACTTAAAAATTCATGACATAATAATGTTTTTCTGCCCTACCTCGAATCATATTGAAGGAAAAGGATGAGTGCTCGTCAAGAGTTGATTCCGTACTGTCTTATCTTTACAATTTGTATTTACAAATTTAACGTGACCTTGTTCCAATTCGTTGTCTATTATATATGACGTATAATTGTTTGAATGAAAATGATAAAGCCTTTTTTTTTTAGAGTTCCTTTCGATTAATGAATGCAATTCTAAAAACAGATAGAACAAAATGGCTTGAATGATGAACAACATGAACAGGGTACCACAAGAAAACAATTCTGAATAACAAGATGCAACCATAAAAAGTGCATTGTTTAGTTCTTTAGGAAAGACTCCCTTTTGAACCCCCTTCATTTCTGTCTATGCATATTCCGTCAAACCAGGGGGTTCAAAAGGACATCTCTTCGTATTTTGTGTTATCTGTGGTTTGAAAAGTACAAATTAAAAAGTATTAAAGGCATATAAGCATTTATGACACATCTGTCTTTAAAGACCAAAAGATAGCTCAACTTTGATCTTACAGTGATGAATGTTGTTTCCTTTTGGACAAAGTCATTGACAAAATTTTTGCGAGTAAATCGCGTTATATACATTTCTAAATATAGTAATTATGAATGCCAATTCAAGTTCAGGGCCAAATATATGTATCAAGGTAAATTACATGACAAATTACTTATTTCAGTTACTTTGATATGATATATTAATCAATTAAATCAAAATCAACTTTACGTTCCGCTATATAGATGATGTTCTCTCACTAAATAATACAAAATTTGGTGACTATGTTGAACGAATCTAATCCATCGAACTAGAGATAAAGGATACTACAGATACAGTTAAGTCTGCCTAATATCTTGACTTACATCTAGAAATTGACAATGAGGGTCGGTTGAAAACAAAACTTTACGACAAAAGAGATCGCTTCCCAATTGTGAACTTTCCATTTCTATGTAGCAACATTCCAGCAGCGTTTGCATTCGGGGTATATATCTCCCAGTTGATACGAAATTCTAGGGCTTGTATTTCCTATCATAATTTCCTTGATAGAGGGTTGCTGCTCACAAGGAAGCTATTAAACCAAGAGTTCCAAGTGGTGAAGTTGAAATCAACCCATTGTAAGTTTTATGGACGCCATCACGAGTTGGTTGACCGTAATGGAATATCAGTTTCACAGATGATAGCGGATATGTTCCTAATGTCGTTACTACCATCCCGTCCCCTTTTCCAGAATGTTTGTTTGTTTGTACCAAGACAGCAACACGTGTAAACAAGAAGTTTTGAACAACCATGCATGTTTTGGAAGTTCAAAGTTTCGGGTTATCTTAAGCGAATTTAAGGGGCGCCCCCTTATGGAGCTACATACATGGTTAATGCAAAGTACATGTATTTGCCTACTCACTATGTGCTTTTCTGTATTTGTATTCCTGGCTTTAGACTTGATGTGTAGGAATTCATCGGACCCCTTTATTACGTTTTGTAATGTGTATTTGTCAGATATGATGTTCAGTTGCTTTACAATCTTATAAATTTGACTTCAAAGACAGTACGTGTGATATTAATCTCGTCGGACACTTACATAGTTTCAAGGGAAACTCTAATTTGTAAAAAGGTTAAATTATTGATATGGAGCCAATTTCGTACAATATAAAACTAGAGGCTCTAAAAAGCCTGTGTCGCTCACCTAGGTCTATGTGCATATTCAACAAAGGACACTCTCCAACATTGTAGACGAGAATAGAATTCATAACAAAAATCTCTTTTTTGTTGATCTTGTTTTGCTGATCGTTTTGTCTGTTTAGTTTCTCTCTATCTTTTTTAGTTTTTGCTCAAAACACAAAAAAGGTTAAAAAAAATTCTCATTTAAGGGCAATCACTCGTATAAAGAGTGACAGTCTACTTACTATATCGGCAAAATTTGTCTAGTTTGTAGATCTTGCCTTGCTGATCATTTTTGCTATTTAATGTTTCTATTTATCTACTTCAATTTTTATCAGACAAGGAAAAACGCAAAACGCATAAAAAAAATAAAAATCGTGAAAATCGTCATTAAAGGGCAATTACTCTTAGAAGGAGTAGTTGGACAATTTCCTTCATGTTGCCTTCATTGTAGATCTTGTCTTGCTGATCATTTTTGCTTATTTAAGTTTCTATATATCTATTATAATTGTTAAGATATAAGGCAAAAACACAAAAATATGGTAAAAATCGTCATCAAAGGACAATAACTAATAAGGATCGACTGTCGATATCGACCATGTAATCTTATTTGTAGAACTTGTCTTGCTGATCATTTTTGCATTTTAAAGATTCTCTCTTATCTATTATAGTTTTCAAGATAATAGGCAAAAATGAAAAAAAAGGGGTAAAATTTCACATTTAAGGGCAATAACTCCTAAAAGAAGTCGTCTGACAGTTTTGACGTATGTAGACAATTGGTAGAGCTTAAGATTCTGAACATTTCTGCAGCTGTCAGATTTTCTCTATTAATAACGGTTTTCAAAATAATGGACAAAACTTGCATTTTACTCGTATGTTCTATATTTAGCCATGTCGTCCATCTTTTTTGGCAGGCGGGGTCATCGGACATATTTTCTAAACTAGATACCCAATGATGATTGTGGCCAAGTTTGGTTAAATTTGCCCCAGTAGTTTCAGAGGAGAAGTTTTTTGTAAAAGTTAACGACGACTGACGACGGACGCCAAGTGATGAGAAAAGCTCACTTGGCCCTTTGTGCCAGGTGAGCTAAAAAACGAAGATGTGGCATGATTGCAAGTGAGAATTCGAATATATATTACAAGATACCATATAACATATAGGAGATAGAAACTATAGGTCACTGTATGGCATTCAACAATAAAAAAAAACCAATATCGTATAGCAAGTTATTAAAGGTCCCAACAAAAAATGTGTAGAACAATTTAAAAGAGAAAACTAATGGCCTGATTTATGTATTAAACATTAAACGAAAAACAAATATGACTTACAGCAACAAACGACAACCACTGAATTATAGGCTCCAGACATGGGACTGGCACTTACAAGTCTTTTTTTCTTTTCTTTCTAGTATGTGTACATATGAAATAATCAAGTTTCAGTGAATGGTTGGAGCGGATTTGAAAGCAGATTGTGATGATGTGATGATGGTCGTAAATAAAACCTAGAATGATATTGTCATTTCTTGTACTTTTCATATGTTTCATCTTTTAATTCTATTTTGTGAGCGTGAAGTATGAGACATGGTTCATAGTAGGGAAGGGGAAGTAGTCGTATTTCCTATAACTGATATAAAAATCATACTACGTTTCATTGAATAATGATTTACATCTACCACAGTTAAGAGTTAAGGGTTCTTCCGGAGCACCTGAGATCACCTCCAATTTTTGGTGGGGTTCGTTTTGCTCAGTCTTTGGTTTTTTATGTTGTGTTTTGTGTACTGTTGTTTGTCTGTTAGTCTTTTTCTTTTTCAGCCTTGGCGTTGTCAGTTTATTTTCTACTTATGAGTTTGAATGTCCCTTTGGTATCTTTCGCCTCTCTTAGCTATTAATAAATGGTCTAAACCTTCATTTCTGACATTGTTCATATGTTCCATTTGAGAGAGACTAAAAGCATCAAATGCAAGCGCATAGTAAATTATGTGAAGAAGCTTGAACGCAATGCCTGAACAAAGTCCGAAGAGGCAGATCGACATGCCAGTCATAAAGATGTTTAATATTTTGCATTGTATTTTACTAATAAGGTTTGTTTAACAGCAAATTTTATTCTGTACAGTATTTTTAAAATACTATGGCTTTTTTTACCCCAGCGATATATTACATTAGCTGTATTTGACAAAACCTTACGGAATTTTAGGTCCTCAATGCTCTTCAATTTGTTCTTTATTGGCCTTTTTTACTTTCTTAACTCGATGAGTCTTGTATAGACGAAACGCGCGTCTAGCGTACAATTTTTTAAGCTTGGTATCTATGATGAGTTTATTTATTAGTTTTACTATAAACTTTTCATTGTATACTGACTGCATTTACTTTTGACTTCTAGACGTCTTTTACGTTTGTGGTCGTTGGATTATTGTCTCATTGATATAATACTCATCCCCGTTTTGTTCATATGTCTAGGTATATACAAAGCTAGTAACATATTTTTTTCAATCTCTTTATTAATGTAACAACTATTATCCAAGCGGCGACGGAACTGTTGATTGTTGCTGGGTCCAGAATACTGCTTCTTGTATATCTAATCCAAAACTAAAAAAAAAATGATATATAATAATCTGATAAATAAAATCTTATCTTTTGACCTTTTTCTGCACTTCTTCGTTTTGTGTGTGTGTGTGTTTATTAGCTTTATTCAGGTTGTTTTTATAATACTACAGTGTATGATTGATATTGGTCAATTCAATATGATCGGTTGATAAACAAGAACTGAAAGATGTTGTTCATACTTCGCCGGAAAGTGGTTTACATCGCCATATTTCAAAAATATAATTAGCAGTATAGGTAACCAAGTTTGTTTTCAAGGTAGTAAGAGGTTGTGTAAAACTGACACATTTAGTATTGATTCTTTGGGAAACTTGTGTCTCGTCCCTTTTGCATATTAAAGCAACTGCAATATTTCAAAGTTGATTTTAAATAGTGAAAAGTATTATTGTATGATAAGAAAGAAAACTGTAAAATGACAGACTTTTGACAAACATATGAGAAGATAGCTCTTATAAAATGCTTCAATAAAATCTGAAGAAAAATGGGTAACTGTTTTTTTTTTTTCTTGCTTAAAAGAATAGAAAAAATATCTATTTTCATATCCTCTTAACAAGTAAAGTTATGAATTTTGGAATCAATTAATAATATTCTGTATTTGTTAAATCATTTGTTTTCTTCAGATATAGTGAAATAGTTTTGCCATTTAAATGAAAATTTTAAAATTGAATTGTATTACTACATCGAATTTAGCTTATTTCATTTAAATTCTGTACTAATCATTTTCTGTTATTTGCGATCTCAGATGGACAAAGACTTCCGTACTATCTTAATGAAATGTGTTTTTTTCTTCAGAAAATTGATGTCTATATTTTGGATTTTGAAGTTTATTAAGAGTTTTATTTAATGGTCTTGAATATTTTGGCTTGCTTTCGGTAATTGTTACTTATTACGCTTGACTTAAGATGAGGATGTCGGTTAAACGACAATGAGAATTAAGGCAATCAAAGATGACAAGACTGTTACAATATAGATCTAGTATAAAAGAAGGAGTTGCACGTATACGCATTTGACAGTAAATCAAAGGCGAATATAGCCAAGAGGTGGGGATTGGGCACAACAAACAGTGTTCAAAAGTAGACAGATCTTAGTTAAAATTGTGACACGTTCGAGCGTGTAGTTCTATCTGATTGTCTTTTCAAGTTCAAAGTTCAAAAGATTGCGGACCTTTAGTTTCGTTTATTTTCCAAGCCGATTATTTCTGTTCGTTTTTTTAATTTCCGCGGGTTTCTGTTCGTATTATGACATGATAACTTTGTATATATAGAAAAGCCTTGTTCATCTAAGGGCTTCAGAAAGAAGAACGTAGTCGATTGCGGACCTTTGATTATTTTGAATACGTGTATAAAGTTCTTTACAAACGGGGAGTCAATTTACAGCAAGTAAGTCACTCACATCTATAAACTGACGAAGCCTTTTTTTCATTATAGGAAGCTAATTCACTCATGATATGAAAGTTTATAGAGTGACACTTTTCAATACATTTTCTGTTAAAGTCACCCATTAGTAAAATTTCATAACCAGAACGGAATAAATTTGAGCAGTTTTCAAGTAGTTTATACATGAGAATATCGGTTATTTGCCGATCGATTCCATCATTTGTAAAATATGCAATTCCAATAGCTGTTTGATATTGCCTATTCTAGATAGAACCCACGTACATATGTTCATGTTTATCGTTTTTACTACTAGTATTAAGAAGGTTATCGCCAAGAACAGGATCTTCTGACTTTAAAGAAAGACCTATACCCCCTTTATCTTTACCTGATAACCTGCATTTTCCGATCCATGTATAAGCATGGTCAAGGTCAGCGAGTCGATCATTTGTTTTTAAAAAGGTTTCAACCATGCCAAATGTACTTACGTTATGATTAGAGAGACAGTGTTTAAATCGTGGTAGTTTGCTGATGGAACCGCGGATGTTTAAAAAGTCTATTTTCGAAATATATTTTGTCTTGGACTTACCGCGTTTTCCAATTTTATGTTAAGGCTTCCCTTTCTTACAGATCTTTGCTTCACAAGAGCTATCGCCATTTACGGCGCTCGCTTCTTGGCAGAGAATTTATTACATATTACAAGACTTGGCCATATGGCCTTAATTACAATTACACTCCAGAAAAGAGAGGCGAAAGATACCAAAGGTACATTCAAACTCATAATTTGATAACAAACTGACAACGACGGAGAAGCAGATCCTGCTCCACATGTGGTATACATCGTGTTGCTCATGTAAGTACAAACTCGGTGATAAGTCTAACTCGGTAAGAACAGTGATGAACAGATTACAATTCTTAATGAGGAGGGTCTAGAACGGTAAGCAACCATATTTATTTAGATTTGTTGTCGGTTTTTCTGTTGGTTAGATCTGTTTAATTCATTAAAAAGTTCTCGAAGTTTTAGAATTTGACTAACCATTCCGTTTTTACGTTTTATGTTGAAGGTGATACGGTGACCTGCTTATGTGTACTTTTGATAATTTGATTGCCACAGCATTTGCATGAACTATACGTAGATGTAGCTACTTTTATAAGTTATAAACATATCTGACTTTAGATATTATGATTCACACAACAAAATGATAATTTTCAATTCATTTCAAAGAATGGAATTTCTACTGACTTTTAAGAGATAACACAGATTTCAATAAATATGAAACTTACTACTGACTCTGAATTCCATTACTTAATTTAGCTTCAAATGTATCAGTTGTTGGTTCTACAGTCCAGATGACTTTGTTGTTATTTCCGGCTCCGGCATGTTTTCCCGCCAGACACACTAATGAATTCTGGATAATTTTACAATGTTCATTATAATACATGTTTTTTACAGGTTTTTTTAGATGAATTTACGACTTGTTCATGCGCATATTTTGCCAAAGTTAAAAGACAAATTGGTACGCAGGTTTGGTTATAGAATTATTCAACTAGCAGAAAAAAACAGACTAGTAAATAAAACACATTGGTACGCAGGTTTTGTTATAGAATTATTCGACTAGCAGAAAAAAACAGACTAGTAAATAAAACACATTTCGTTTCGAATGCAAGTGCTTAAATGTCATCTAAAATGCCTCTGAAAATACGTGGACTATACCTGGCTAACACTTTAAACTAAATATGTCTTGGCCATTTCATCATATCGGTACCGTCATAGCAAATATTTTCGTCTGCAAGACTGTTAGATACAAAGTTGAAAAACCGACTGTCCCCTATATTAGTTGACAAGAAAATGTTTCCAAATAAAATAAATTCGTTGCATCCTCTGGTGACCCTTAGTGAATAGTTAAACTTCTAATCCTTACGCCTTTGTACGCATTAAATGTATTAACGATTACGAAGGTTTGATATGGTTTTTCCTTGTTAATAGGTGTTCATTAAATTATGTTGATTAAATTATTGTTTTTTACTTAATTAGTACTTGTAGGTAATGAGCTATTAATTATGGGGTGTAATTCCTTGTCCCAGATACTTATGTAGATGTTATTTGTCCGTTGAACAAATGTTGCAAACCACAGACTGTAAAATACGTATTTTTGTGTTTCCGTGTTGTAGATATATTCCCGAGCGAGTACTCGAGTATCGCTCGATAAAACCAACGAGTACTCGATTAGTAATTGTTCATCGAGTTGACATCAGTATTTTTTTTGTGATTAGTGCCCCTGCTATCTTTTTTTGGGTCCTCCAATGTTCGAAAAGACTACGTCAAGTTTAGTTGTTATATTTACATGTACAAACTAGTTATTTCTAAGACCCGATCGGTTTTCTCGTGCTTTTTTTCTTTAAAAATGTATGACTATTTTGTTAATAATATACAGGCTAGCCGTCGAAAAACACACACAAGAAAGTAGTACGTTTGGTGCCTAATTAAGTAATCTTTCTGTCGAAATGATGCCTTAACTTAAAACCATGTACGGTCTATCAAAGACACATTATACATTTAAAGTACACAATTGTTGCCTTTTTAAAACCCACTAGCTTCTCATGTGTCTTTCTCAATTTAGGAGCCTCGTTCTGAAGTTAAATCGTATGGTTTGTGTCCTTGGGAAATTACAGGTCCTTCGTTTTGATAGTATCTGTTCAATTAATTCACAACATTTTAGACTCAGAGGGATTCAGATTGCTTGATTGTTACTTTGATGTCCAGTGGCAAATATTCAATGTATATTCAGGACGAGAGTGATATAGAGGTTATTATATTATATAGACAGATATCTATTGTTGCAGACCAGATTTTGACCTCAAAATGACCTTCAGTTGTATTGTGTATTTGAATTGCTGTCTCATTACTGTACACCTATAACATCTTTTTATACAAAGTCATTTTCAAAAACTGCAACTTTTCTGGTGTCATTTTCTGTTATTGTCTTACCAATGTATATCTGAAGTAACCATAAATGTTCCCGGATGTACAGCTTCCAGGACAGGTTCCACTTGAAAATAAATTAAATTAGATAAGAGGGTCTGGATGGGGTTTACAGAATAGCGAATATTGGCAAACAAAATTATGAATAGAGAAAAAAGAGAGGCGAAAGATACCAAAGGGACATTCAAACTCATAAGTCGAAAATAAACTGACAACGCCATGGCAAAAATGAGCCACAATAATGAATAGAGAATAATGGGGTGCAAAGAATAACTGTGGAAAATAAACAAATTAGGTGATATGATACGGATTACAGAAATAAACGATTTACAGAATAAAGAAATCATTTCGTTACAGATATATTTAATAGTAAACTATTGTTCTTGCAAATTTTACAGAATGAAAAGATAAAGAAATATGTCTCAAAAAGTAATGAAATACATAAATGAGGGACCCCATCCAGACCTTCAAATAAAGGCACTCAACAACAATCCGTAAACCTGCACTAAACCACACCAGACCAGTGTACAATTTTGACATTTTAAGCAAAATAGAAGTACAATCGAGGATATATTTTTTAATTAATGGATGCTAAAATATGATAATAACGATAATTGTTACATGTAACTTGACTAGTGTTAAATTCACTTTCTTTCAACATTTTATGGTTTTCTGTAGAAATTTATATTTCCGTGCTTAACAACATCAGTGGCAATTTCACTTAGTGATGTTTTTGTTTTATAAGAAATTATGTATAAGAGAATTGAACATGTATGCAAATATACAAACCCACAAGCTCCACTGATCCCCACACCACAATCATTAAACGTTGTACTGCAGTTTAGTTGTCCCATATCTTTATACACTATCAACACACAGAATAATATGTACGGGTAGTCATCACTTCTGTGTTGACATGAATTATCAATGGTAATAATTATAAATCAACTGTTTACAGAACTTGAAATTTTCGAAATACTAAGGATTAGCCTCCCATTGAATAGATTATCTTAGCTGTATTTGGCAAAACCTTTCGGAATTTGTGGTCTTCAATGCTCTTCAACTTCGTACTTAATTCGGCGGTTTAGGGAGCTACCATTTGATTTTTATGGGGGGGCTAGGATGAAAAATTTGTCCTGCATTTTTTTTTAGTTGTAATCTCTGTCCTGCCTTTTTATTTTTCACTCTGTTCGGTCCTGCCTTTTTTTTTTTAAGTTTATCTCCTGACTTTTTTTTACCTAAATTGTCATCCTGACTTTTTTTTTTGCAAGTGTCTCATCCTGCCTATTTTTTTCAAATTTCATCCTAGCCCCCCCCCCATAAAAATCAAACGGTAGCTCCCTTAAAATGTTTTGATTCGAGCGTCACTGATGAGTCTTTTGTATAAGAAACGCGCGTCTGGCGTGCAAAATGTTAATCCTGGTATACATGATGAATTTATGTACTATGATGATAACATATAATCAAGAAAAATGTGAAATAATTTATACGAAAAAAAAATACGGCCTTATTTATGACAAAACAATAAACGAAAAACAATTAAATACATGTATGACAGGCAGCAACTGTTACCGTCCTACAGTAGGAGGAACTTACGTATAAAAATAGCACTGTGGACTCTCTATCGTATCTTTCCCCTTTTGTAATTTGATTCACAAAGGAATGATGTGCATAAAAATGCGTTGCAATATAAATGGCCCAAAGAGGTAATAATTTCATTTAAAATTCGCTAACATTTGAATAATGATAGAATATTGTATTTTTGTTGTAATTAACGATTCTATAAGGAACTAAGAAGTCAACGTTTTACTTTATTTTTTGTAGTTTTCACGTGTGTAGTTGTAACAAAAAATTTGTTCCTGCGTGACATTTGTTCCGGGCGTGACATTTGTTCCGCCGGAACAAATGTCATAGGAAATATGTTCCACTGGAATTTATATCACAGAAAATATGTTCCAGCACTGTAAAAGTTTGTTCCGGAACTAATTTTTTTACCAAATGTGAAATAAGTTCTGGAACAAAAATAACAGCTCCATGAATTTTGTTCCAATGTTAAAAGTTTTTAAAAATTGAAATATATGTTCTTGGGATATTAGTTTTGAAAGAACATATTTCATAGAAATCAATGAATAAGTTCCGCTCAGACCTATTTCACAGAAAATAAGGAAATTTTCTGGTTACACTTAAATTATAATACAAGCTTGATGCTGTACTGTGCTTGCATGGGGTACATTTACAATTGAAAGCATGACTGTAACTTTAGGATGAAGATAAGAAATAAAAGCAATGGTAATGTATCATAATTTGTATTTATGTTTTATGTGGTATTCCTTCTTGTTTCCTGTTACATGTAACTGTCATGGTTGTTTTAGTCATACATGTACATTTGTACATAGGTCATGGCACAGTTTCAAAAGAGTTTTTTGTTTCTACATGTATTTTTATATAATTGATCAGTCACTTTGTCCTTTTCAAATTAGTACAAATGTTATCTTTAACTATACTTTTTTTACTGAATGATTTTTCTTATTCTACCCTTTTCTGGCTCTTAAGTGTCATTTTCTTTGGTATTTTTTATGGAGTACTTATGTAATTTAAAAACATTTGCTATACTCCACAGGATCTAAATAGGATGTTTACTTTTTTAATTTATTACTTTATCAATCTAATACATGTTTTTTTATAATGTACTTGAATGATAACTTTAAACTCACTGATGATAAATGCTCAGTATATAAGATAACTTGTTAAACCAGTGGAACATATTTCACAGACAAGGAACTTATTTCACCAGGAGAGGAACAAATCTCACAAATCCAGAACTTATTTCAACAGGTAAGGAACAAATCTCACAAACCCGGAACTTATTCTACTAGGTAAGGAACAAATTTCACCATCCCAGATCTTATTTCACCAGATAAAGTGTGGAACTTATTTTATAGAGATGGAACAAATTACATAGAAATTATCTGTGAAAAAAGTTCTCCCAGAACATATTTCCTGTGATATTAGTTCCACTGGAACTTTTTTCACAGGAACAAATTTTGGCTCACATAGTGAATGGAAAAGTTTAAAGATGCGTTGTGACTTTGCGATGTATGACAACGTTTGAAGCTGTAGTAATAATAAACAGTAAATTTACATTTGTCATATTAATTCATACGGCCATTCAAATGGCACTTCAGCAACAAACCACTATTACTGAACTACTAGCTCCTGATTTGGGACGGGCACATATAAAATATGGCTGGGTTAAACATGCTTGTGAGCGCTTAACCCTCACTTAACCTGGAACATTAGGGTAGTAGCTCAACATATAAAATCAGGAAATGACGGGACTCATCAGACACCAGCACAAAACTAACACTAAGACTCGACTCATCAGACCCGCACAAAACTAACACTAAGACTGGAATTGTCATACCGGCACAAAACTAACACTAAGACTAAATTCACAAAGTACCTATTTAAGAGTACTTGCAGTCACTGAAAACCAGTTCAACCCATGCAGTAACAACTAATACAGAAATCATGTATCTAAGACTAAATGCCATTATTCTAAAAACAATTTGAAATGAACAAAACATTGTTTCTGAAGAATGTTGACACTGTGTTGTGTAATTTACAAGGAAAAAGATGAAGCTGAAGTTAGAAAATGTACATTTAAACATTACCTACGACAGTTGATCTTGCTCTTAAGGATTGTTCACATAATCTTATTCAAAGAGTACTTGCGGTTACTGAAAGGAAGTTCAAATCAAATAACAACTAATCGAAAAAATCATGCTCATCATTGTCTACTTATTTAAACACTTGAAGCCATGAAATGGTACTTTTCGCACATCTCTGTGCCAATATCACCCTGCTCAGTCCCTATGTAATTTACGTATTACCGAGAAGTGATAAGACCTTATAAGCGATTCATAACGTGTAAGAAGTTATCAGCATGATCAGCGATGTCACAATATGGCCGCAGAACTTAAATAGTTTAATACTTTCGTTTGGAGAATCAAGCGTAAAACTTGTCTTAAGCAGGGAGAAAAAAAAAAGAAATGGTACGATAAACATATCGCATATTGTGTGAAAAAATCATAAAATATTAATCGCTGGACAAATATTTTTTGTTATGGGTCACGGCGCTCACTCGCCAAAAAGGTTCAGATTATGTCTCGCGGCTGATATTTTACGATATCAATGTGCAGAAAACTCGATACTCAATACAAATAAAGTATATATAGTGAAACCTGTCTAAACCGAATCTTGTATAAACCGTACGTAAACCTGTCTAAACCAAACATTTTCTTATGTGTAGTCATATAAAATGTTATGCGTTGTGAACCTGATTAAACCGAACATCTGTCAAAACCGAACAAAATCTCAAGTCCTGAAGATGTTCGGTGTATACAGGTTTCACTGTACATTTATCTTTTCAAAACAATAAAACAGCACGATGATACATACATACTACTTTGTCTGATCCTTGTTTATTTCCATCTGTACCATTGCATACGTAAACACCAGTATCAGTGACCAAATCAACGCTTGTAACAATCAAACCATCACCGACAAGCAGATATTTCCCAGGGTTACCCGATAAAGGAGGACTGTATGCTTTAGACCATGCAAATTGTGTCTGTCCACCACCGGAAGCATCACATGTTAGTTGGAGAAACGATTCACCAGAGACTAATGGTCTGTTGTGTGGACTTGCAGTGACCTTGAATGGCACTTAAAATATATTATACAACTAAGGTCATCGATAGTAGTGTTATACAACTAAGGTCATCGATAGTAGTGTTATTAAGCAAACAAATCAGTATAGTAATTATTGTCCATAAAACCTTAAAAATACAAACAAACAAAGCAAACACAAATTCAAAAAACAACAAAAATAAAAATAAGTAAATAAACAAAACAACATTAACAAAAGAAACAAAGCATAAAACCAAAACAGAACAAAAAGAAAAGTATGTCATGGAAATGTCGATTTAGAGTTCTATGAATAGCTATAAAAGATGCTAACAACAAAATTTCGTCAATACTTAAAACTATCGCATCACAGACTTCATTACTTTCGACTAACTCAGTATAGTAAGTTACGTAGTTATGTGGAAGTTGCATTTTATGTCCCTTAAGCCGTGTAAACAGTACTGTATCTTGTATTCGGAATCCTTTAAATCTTTATTCTTTATACTCTGTACATTGTAGCATAAAAACGGCCTTAGTCCAACCTTTAAAATTGATATACAAGACACTGCATCTATACAGTAGGGAGTTGGAGGCCAAACATTCTAAGAACACGTAGTTCGTCTGCAGAGAACACTAGCAAATCAACAATGATATTGTGAATGCAAATACCGCTCGTTGTGAGGTGCTTTAAACGCCAGGATCTTTATTGACAAAACTACCGGTGTTCCTTCCAGATGTCGGTGGTTCCAAACGGCTACTCCGGCCTTCTTCATAACTTGAAACAAAATAAGTCTTACCATTAATACTTAATCTTCCAGACGCTGTAGTTGAACCAACACTGTTTGTCGCAGTGCACGTGTAATCTCCTTCACTAAACGCATCAACGTGAAACAACGTAACAGATCCATCAGAATTGATTCGTGCTGTTTTTGGGGGTATACTTCCTGTCTTTGAAAAACATTACAGTGGGTTAAAATGACTAATGCGAAATAGGAGATATTACACTCTGAAAGACCTAAATACTATGTAAATCTTAACCAAAAAATAAAGTCGTTTTCAAAAATTTATTTCCATATTGATCGTTATGTACTTTATCGGTATTTGTTGCATTACTGGACATTTGGAACAATCCCGTAAAAAATTGACACCACAATGCAAACGTGATTGTTGTCTAACGTCAAGAGTTCAAAAGTATCAAACTCGGGTCAAGTGTCGAAGATTCCAAAATAGCGATAATGTCTATACATTCCATTAATGAAAATCCCGTATCTTCTCTATCCCCCATGTTTTGTTATCTATACTGTATAGCTTTTGTATATTGGAAGTATATGTATAGTGGTTTATATCATGGGTTTTGTTAAAAAGCTGTGTGTCCACGTTTTTTTGTAGTACAATTTTTAAATTTTAGATGTACTTCATGTCTATGAGAGAGAAAAAAAACCGTAGATGAATATGATTCATAAGAAACAATGATAAGGAGATATGGAAACGTTCTCAAAACACCAAAATACTATGAAATCTTAACAGATAAATATACAGTTTTAATGAGTTTTCCATAGTAGTCGCTATGCAACTTATTGCTACCGAAATGTGTCCGACATTACTTAATATTATGAGACGATCCCATTAATTTCGACGTAATCAGAGAAAAATGTCTGACGCCACAAAGCAAATGTGACCGTTGTCCACGGGGAAGTCTCTTCCTATATGAAAGCATACACAGACGTGCCGCTGAAATGGGTCCCTTTTTTTGAAATGTCAAATATATCAATGGGGTGCAAGTTCACTAAGGTAATATATCAATAAGTCAGTAGTTTCATCTTTCGATTTGATATCTGTATATATGCTAGTTTATCCCTTTAAATAGAATTAAGATTTAATTGTATATTTGAAAATTGAGAAATATGTGAATGGGTTATGATTAAGCCATTAAATTTATTTATGGGTCTCGATTTTCAGAAGACTTCAATATATGAATAGGAGTGTTTTTGAACTCCCAGCTCCACGAGTGTTCCTAAAATATCTCATGTTGAGGACCCCCTTCATGTTCTGTTGTCTTCCGTTAATAGTCTTAAAGTCTCAAATTCTATGACCAAGTGTCAAAGTTTCCAAAATTGCTATGATGGCTATATGTTCCACCAATGAAAATATCGCTTGGTTTTTCTCTAGCCATCTTGGTAATGTATGCTTCTTAAGATATAATGCTTCCATTTTCAGTACCGTATTCTGGACCGAAATTCTGATACAAAGATATTCGCAATCATTTTGCGCAAGGAATACCAATCGAAACAGAAAATACTGTACCACTCTTATATCGGTACTTTAATGTGTCTTTGTCTTTTTTTAGCCGTTTTTTTTTTGTGTGTTTAGTACATATTTTAGGAGACTAGCTCTTTGAAACTTATCTGTACAGTTATATTTTTATATTCTGCTGTTACATCACTGTCTCAGGTTTGAGAGAGGGTTTAGTACTCACAAATATGTAAACCCAATATGGCATACAATTCCATATGCAGGTCTCAAGCTTGGAAACATTAGTACAGTTGTTGCCGTCCATAACTTGTTTTTCAGTCAGTCCGTATGCTGGCTATGATCTATTGTTTCACGTTTTGTCATCCGAGCTTACTCTACGGTCAAAAGCCCATACGGCGACCTGTAGTTTTAAGCTTTTCGAGAATTTAAAATTATGTTCTTTACACTGAAAGGTATTTATTTCTTTCAAAAAATATACATAGGGTAGGACTAAAAAGGCACATTGGTTCATAGAAAGGACAGAGGGGAGCACAGAAAGAAAGGACAGAGAGGTGCTGTCTTTCTCTATTTTTGTATAAGCTATGACAATGGTACAAGTAAGTACCTTAGGAAATGTCCATGCCACACTAGCCGGAGGGTTGGCGATATTGTCACAATAAAGTGTTAACGTTGTACCGATGTTAACTAAATGGTTATTTGGTCCACCAATTATCACAGGTTTTGCTACAAAACAGAACAAATTAACAGATTAATTCGAATTAAAATACACATTCTATATCCAAGCTTAACGTTTGCTTGTAATGATCTGAAGGCGCTCTGTTCTACTTTCTGTTTTAAAAAACTTTTGGGATCCTCTTGTTTTGTCGAATTTTGCCTTAAAAAATGTATGATCCCGTCAATTTGTATAAAAAATAGTAAATATTGTAAATTCAGAAATGTATGCGTGCTTTTATCATTGCGACTATTGCACAATGAACAAAATATCCAAGATTATTTATTGCAATTTCAGAAAATTTTATCAAATTTTAAATGTAATGTTTTATTTTTGGGAAGCCAATCCCGTCGCAATTCTCGCAATAACAAACACATTACAAACATTTCTGAATTTACAGTATAAAATGAAATAGGTAACAAAAATCACCAAAGGTACTGTACTGTACAACATACTTAACCAAATACTGGCTTATAAACCTTCAAATAAGGACAAACAACGAACAACACATGGTTCAGAAAGATTGACTTGGTATATTCCTCTTTTTCGTAAGCACAAATTCTCCGTTTTGCCTATATATATATATATGTAATATTTTTTAAGCTTGAATTGCATACTTTGGCAAAAATGTTTGGGTTTGAGTTTTCCTGCAGAAGAAAAATCAAGTAAAGCGAATACGAAACACTTGAGTTTATACAGTGTTATTTTCTTGGTTTAGTCGCACAAAGGAATAATGTGTTTTTGTATTGAAGGATTTACAGTGTACATTTCTAAAAGATACAGGGGCCTCGGTGGCCGAGTGGTCTAAGTAGTTACTACTGTAATCACTAGCCAGTCAACACTGAGGTTGTGAGTTCGAACCCCGCTCATGCGGGTGCACTCGACTCCAATCTTAATTGACTAGGATTGTCAGTTTTCCTATCGAAGGTCGGTGGTTTTTTCCGGGCACTCCGGCTTCCTCCATCAATAAAAACTGGCCGCCACGAAATAGCCCAAAAGCGGTGCTAAAAAGTGGCGTTAAAACACCAAAAAATCAAATCTAAAAGATACACATAGAAAAGTGATTTAGCCTGTAAATTATTCACATTCTACACATGGGATATTTTAAAATACACAAGTTCAAAAGTTGTGTATAACTATAGAAGCTTCAATGTAACAAAAAGTTATATTTATTGAGGTCTTTCAACTACATGCTTCTAACGTCACGCTTATGGAAACTTAAATGTTCACGGTTTTAAGGCTGTGTAACATTACTCTTTTAGTACTGTACGTACATTGAAATACTTCTGGTTCTAATTATTGAGTTGTTCCCCTTTTATAACGGTCTGATATGATTTGTGTAACAAAATATAAATTGAGTCAGTTTTATGTTTAAGAATACAAGTGAACACGTGCTGTTTTTGTCATTCATAAGTATCGCTATTATACGGTCCAAAGACACTAAGGTTCAATATACACGCAGCCTTTAACCTACACTTTTAAGTAAGTAAGTTATACATATGGAAGCAGCTTGGTATAATTTCTAAATAAATAAACAATACATAATAACTTACATATAACATGTAGATTAGATGATACTGATTTGTTCTCGAAACCGTTAGCAACCTCACATATATACTGGCCAGCAGACAAAGCACCAACATGATTCAGATGTAAAACGCTTTGTTGAGCTCCAGTGGTGACGCTGGAAGTAATTACCTCCCTTTGGCCGTTATATTTCACGTGATACCATTTAACTGTTGGTGGAGGAACACCAGAAAATGTGCAGGTTAAATCTTCATTTTGATTTGCATCTAACTGTGATTGTGACGGGGTTATATTGATCTGAATCGGATCTGCAAAAGTTCAAAAGTTGATATGAAACAAATTTTCATTGGTTCCGAGCATGAAATAACAGTATATGAACAATATATAGTACTTGATATAACTCACCAGGGTTTATTCTGGTGATATAGCAAATTATACGAAATCTACAGCAATAATAAACACTGAATACATAGTGTTTTAAAAAATGATGATAGAGAATGTGTGTAATCATGTGCACTTCAACATCGGTTCATTATGAGGTACATATAAACATGGACTGGTTCAGTACTATATATTGGTGTTCGGCACCATAAAATAGAAAAATAAATAGAACAAATAAAAAAAAATTAATGCAAAGTAGCTATGAGACTAGTATTTTACGAAAAACTACAGCTTTCCTTGGACACATTATAAAGTTAAGAGCAATAAGAATAGAGTTATCATTTTTGAAATGGCAACATGATGTCATATGTTGAAAAAAATTAAGAGGTAAGGCAACTAAAACTTTGTCTGGCATAACAAACAATTGAAATCATATACATGTATACGGTATAATCCTTAAAATCAGCTTTTTACCCTCCCGGAGCACCTGAGATCTCCCCAATTTTTTGGTGGGGTTTGTGTTACTCAGTCTTTACTTTTCTATGTTGTGTTTTGTGTACTGTTATTTGTCTGTTGGTCTTTTTCTTGTTTTAACCATGGCTTTGTCAGTTTATTTTCGACTGTGGATGTCCCTTCGTTATCTTTCGTCTCTCTTTTTTATCTATCAATGTGGACATAAAATGCTTCTGTAATATGTTATTTATTTGCTGTTGTCAGAACATATTTAGAGGACTAAAAGTCTTATGTCTGCTGATATATAGTACTTTTGATATATAATGTAGTGTATTTTACTTTGTTTGTATAACCAAAAGACTCCTGCGCAACAAAAGGGTCGGTTTAAGTGGTGCATGAAAATTTAAAAAAAATTATTTATAAAAAATTCAAAGTCAGGTTTTTATAAGTGCTTCATCTGTGATATTGATTTACTCTTCCAGTGTCCTACTCATGACTGATTGACATGGAATATTGTTTTCGTTTGTATTTTGATGATACTGTTATCATCTGACGACAAGAAAAGAATGTTCTTACCAGTCACAATGAGATTGAATTTTTTATTTACTGTTCCAAATATATTTGTAGCTTGACACGTAAATGTCGTAGAATCGGTAAACTCTGTTGTTCTAATAAGCAACCCGTCTACTGTTTGTATGTAACGCCCTTGGTGTTTAGGATCAACGGCAGGTGACCAGAGTACTTGCGCTTGTGGTAACCCAGTTGGTTTACAAGGAAGTATAACATCGCCACCTTTATTTACCGGTACTACGACAATTGATGGTCCCGTCAATGCAGGTTTAGCTAAAATAACATGCATATTAAATGTTAAATAGTCAATTTAACAAGTGTGGACACAGATCGGTGTGGATAGTTTTTGTTTTATTTGTGTTAGACAATAGTATGTTTGACAGTGTTCTCTCCACTGAGTTTATGCATTGGTTGTGCCCACCAGATGTTTTCGGATCTACTAGAACCTTATGTTAAACCGTGTACCACAATACCAGCGATCTTGGATTTTCATTGTCCAGTATACAATTGTTATAGTGATTGTTCTAATTAGTAAATGATATTTATAAAGTCTTGGATCTAAGGTCCGTATTTTCTTGTCATGATTTATACTGCCTTACGGTGGCATATAATAGTAGCTTCTACACGTCATTTTGTCTCTGGTTGAAAGGTGTCGCATTGGCAATCACGCCTTACGATGGCCTATAGTTGCTATCTTCTGCTTCATTTCGTCTCTGGTGGAAAGAAAGCAGTCTCATTGGAAATAAAGCCTTACGGTGACCTAAAAGTTCTAATATTTACGTTATTTGGTCTCTGGTGGAAAGTTGTCGCGTTGGAAATCATATATCTTCTTATTTAATATTGATATGAATGGAAATTCAGTAAATTTGAAAGAAATCTTCAAATCTCTTTTATTCGGCGGACAAATGCAGAACAAGTATGAACGCTCGCAAGATATTTCAAAAAGATAAGCAGTTTGTAATAGTATACCCTTTGACTGTTTGTATTATGGTTGACACCTGGGCTCTACGATAATTTGGGCAAAATGTTCCCGAAAAAAAAAACTCTCAGGTCGAAATACGTCATTCGACTGTGAAGCAATTTGACGCTTTACTTCTGATACTTTTTTACACGTTTATATAAAAGGTAAAGACAAATAATAAATATAGACTACGAATTCACGTCTCATATTATATTTTGACATTTTCTTAGAACTAATATATAATGATTTAAGAGGGATGCTAATCAGGATTTCATAAATGTTCCTCGCTTGATGAAGTCATAAGTCCACACATGCCTAGAAATGTACCTTTTTTTGTTGCAGTATTTGATATTCATCATTTAGATACATGTTAGATGAAAGAACTGGTCACATAAAAAAAATTGTCAACCATTAGATTACTGATCATTGTTGAAACAGAACTATCATGAATGTTATTGAATGCAATCAGTCGTTTCTTAACACAATCCTTCTGCCATGGATCGATACATTCAAGCTTAGAAATCACTCTCTTACACAAAAAATATAAGTGTATCGTTGTGTGTGTGCTTGTGTTGTGCGTTTTTTTTTTCTTATTTTTCTTTCAAATACATGTATATGTAAATGTACATAAAAACCCAACAACAAATCAATGTATTACACAAATTTGAAAGATAACACCTTTTTGAAAGATGACACTATTTTGAAAAATGACACTTTTATGAAAAAATTACAGTTTTTTCCTGTATTGCACTTTTTTTAATTTCATGTACACGTTTATTTATCGCCAAAATAAGCGCTCAAGTAAATTTTTCTTACCAAGGTGATTGCAGCAAGTGTCTACAACGTCATTATATTGTGTTCCAAGTAAACCTGAAAAAAAACTTATAAAAAATACCAGGCTTATAATTTGGTACGCCAGACGCGTTTAAAAATTAACAATAAGCAGCACACTATTGTTCAAACCATCATTATTAACGATTAGGAAGAAAAAAAACATAGATAATAAATCAAATAATTATCAAGATATTGTATAAACCATCATTATTAAAAAGGCGAGACAAGAAGAGTTAAAGCATCCAGTCCCTTCTATATATGACAATTGAAAAGGAAGACGGCAGTAGCCGATAAGTATGAATAAATATTCTATTTCCTCCCTAAAAATCCAACCAAATTAACAACATAACACTTCATTGGACATACATATAATGTTATACCTTGCAAATCTCGTCGAACAATTCTGTGATTAGAACCACATTCACCAGGTGGACCAGGATCTCCCTTTGAGCCTGCATCAAAAGAAAAGCCTTTAGATTAAATATGTCGTTGCATTAGAAGTAATGTTAATATTTGGTCACAACTTCACCCACGCCAATTCTTACTCTCACCATGCATGTCATTTCACATTTTAAAATTACTATTTCCCGGTTACAGGTTAATTTTATTATACCTCAGTCATCATTTTCTATATAAAATAAGTACACAATATTTTCACTATTTTTCTTATTGCAAGCGTTGAACTATTTGCATGCCCTCGATGAAACTATTTGACCGCAAGCGTCATTACATTTCGCGGAATTTCTATTGCAGCTACGGTATTGGATAACGGGTTTTTAACAATTCATTCGAGACTATCGGAATTCATTTCAATTATTAACGTCGATTCCCAAGTTCGAACATACACCAAGTCGCATCTGAGGACCGGGTCATGGCTCAGTCAGGGCGATTTGTGTCACTTTCCGATGGAGATCTGGAAGGATTAGTTAAGGACAAGGATGTAAAAAATAAAAACAATGTTGCTCTGCTGTTGAATCTATTCTGTTTTGGTAAAAATGAAGCTTTGAACGTACAATTGCCTGCTTGGTATTGGAATGCATATATATTTACCATCGAATAAATGTCATCATTATGTGTCCGTTGTCTCTTGCAAATGTAAAAATGAGTGTTGGTCAGCTGTGTCGTTCAATCCTTGGCATAACTTTGTGTCTGTTGTCTCTTACGGTATATTAAAACACTTACTGACTGGATATTCGGTGAATAGTAAGTTTATTGTCTTCTCGGATACAACTATTGACCTCGGCTATGCCTCGGGGCAATATTTGCACCTCCAGATATTAAACTTACTATTCCACTCATACACAGTCAATAGGTATAAAATATACTATTCATGCCATTAATTTGAATTTGCATTTATTCATATTGAAATGATATATTTTTCTTTTACTTTTTAAGCTGGATAACTGGTACAAATCTGTAACGTAACCTTACCCTTTTCTCCTTTTGCTCCAGATGAACCTATGTAAATGAATAAGGTGCAATGTTAATCAAATCAAATATAATCAAATTATTTTATTCTATTGGTGTAAAATCCGAATAGGTGATAGTTGGCAAGACAAACAAGACAATATTTACAAACATATATTATTCAAAGTTAACCAACATTCATAGTATAATATATAAAAGTATATCATATATTTAGATTTTTTTGGAGGAGGTGATATATACATATATATATATCACGTATATAAATTGCTGTTTTTATTGTATATACAAGTCTAAATTGAAAACAACGTTCAAACCTATGATCACGTTGGATAAAAACCGCAATTTTTATACGTGTGCATCCAAAACAAATTTCTTGGTACAGGGGTCTAAATACAGCACAAACAACATTTTTCAAAAGACAAAATGAGTGAAAACGTATATTTCAACAAAACGCATTTGACTAGCAGGTCGAACAACTGATTTTCTTAAACCCTGCTGACTGCCATTGGCGATTTCCAAATAAACGGATCACAAGATGTAACAAAATAGATCTTATTATTAATTTATTACCAAACAGAAAACAATAAACTTGCGGAAAAGATGGTATACCGCAAACATGAGGTGCAAAAATTTGTACACCATTTCCGGATATCGACAATTAATGTCTCTTCAGTGATGTTAGGAATCAAAACGGTATTTGGAAGGCCATATAATTTACTTCAATTTAGGATAGACTCTTGAATTTTGATATTCATATATCATTTTCAGAGTTAAAAATTTGTACATTATAAAATAAGACATCTTACATAAGAGAAATAAACATTATGTACAATATCAAAATATGAACTAAACTAAGATTTACGTAAAACATATTTCATAAACAAATAACATTTAAAGTTTAGGTTCCAAAACCAATGATCTCTGAGAGTACATTTCACTCATCATTTTTTTACTTAAACTGTCCAAAGTTTTACTGATATAGGGATCAACCTGATAAAAGTAATCACCAATCAGTATTTGTATTTTATCGTAGGACGATAACTCTGTGAAGCAGAGGCCGGGGAAAGTATTATTTCATTTATATCAGTTACGTATTTATTTCGAATTGAAGAAAAGCCAGAGCACTCTAGTAGGAAATGTTCAATAGACTCGTCAGAATTACATAAACACATTTGACAAGTGGAACTCTCGCTAAGATTCATCCTTTACAAGACTTGGTCCACAGGTAAACATTAGTACGTGTTAACGATTTTAGTCTTGCAGACTTAAAGTCCAGCAAGTTCGACAGATAGGGTTGCCTTCCTTGTGCAAAATTAAATTTGGAGAAAATATCTAGACTGCTTTTATCATTTATTTCTTGATATTCCCTTCTACGGATAAACCTTCCAAGAAACTGTTTAAATATATTAAAGTTAACATTCGAATTGTAAAAGTGATCCAGACCAACCATATTAAATAAATTGATCATATATTGTGGATAATTCCACCCTCTTTGAAGCGTTAAGGACTTAAGCTCTTCAAATACAATGCGACATAATTTACTTGTGTCAAGGCCTTGAATCCTAGCAAAATAAGACACACTTTGTCTATCAAGAAAATCGTGTATTGGCTCCCATCCAAAGTCTAGGAAAAGAGCAGCTTTTGGTATATTCATCTTAGTATTAAAACTAAGTTTCGCCGTTTTATATTGCCATGTTTCAAGTATATTTTTACTTGAAGCGGATGACGGTAATCATACAGCACATCTGTGTGCTAGAGATGGTCGGATGACCGACTTCCAGAGAGCATCCCCAAAAGATATGCGATTAAGGTGGTACCTAACACTACAGGGAGATAACTCTGTAAAAATCAGCTTAACGTTTTAATCACGTTGTATTGTTAAGAAAATATTAAGCTTCTCAATGATCAAAGTTAGTGTTTGTCAAACTGCTAGATAACCAATGAAATTTTTCTGATAAAGTGGTTGGTTCAAATTTTTTGAAATTTTTATATTTTTGTCAAAGGGTCAAAGTAAACATTTTGTCAAAATTTTATGAAAACTAAACGAGCCAAATTAATATTAGTCAAGGTGTTTGGTACCACCTTAAAAGATCCGTGTTCATTAGGTAGCTTAGTCATATAATTCAGTTTGCGTTCGAAAGTATCTTTTAAGAAATGATTGATATGGTAAGCAAAGGTCAAAGAGCGGGTAAAATAAATTCCCAGATATTTATATTCATTAGTCTTGTCCAAATGCTCATTTCCTAGGTACCATTTCTTAGTTTTATCTAAGCGTTTACCTACTATCATAACCTTGGATTTGTTTGGGTTAAACTTTAAATTCCACTTTGATGCAAATTTTGCTGTTATATCTAGCAGACACTGCAGCTCCTTCTCGGACTTCCCGGTAAGGACTACATCATCAGCAAACATTAAACAGTTCAAAATTTGTGAGGAGAGCTCGACGCCCAAATTACTGGTTTCGAGCATACATACGAGGTCATTCATTAACACAGAAAAGTGTTGGAGACAAAACACAGACCAAATTCTTGGTCGAAGAAACCCGTTTCACTAGCACCAACAAGACTTTATTTGATACATTGCTATAAAGAGATTTGAGCAATTTCCAGCACTTGCCTTGAATGCAATTTTTTCCACAATAGATAGAAAAGGCCATCTCGCCAGACTCTATCAAAAGCCTTGAACAGGTCAAGGAAAGCGAGAAACGTTTTATGTTTTTTAGCCTCTACGAAAAGAGCAAATACCTTGCAGTGTAAAAATATGGTCCCCGGTTCTTCTGTTTTTTCGAAACGCTCCCTGGACCTCGCCTAAAATATTATTTTCTTCCAAATGGGACATTACAGATTCTTCCAAAATTTTTGCATATACTTTATAAACATTAGAAGTAAGCGTGATGCTTCTATAATTATCAATATCAAAAACAGATCCTGATTTATGTAATTGTTTGATGATGCCTTTTTGCCAATCATCAGGTACAGTTTCGAGGTCAGATGTTATTGTGAAAAAATCAACAAGTGAATCCACTAGCGCATCCCCGCCAAGTTTTAAGAATTCATTAGGAATCTCATCGATGCCACTAGCTTTACGCAACTTAAGGTTCCTTAAAATTAGAGCAATTTGTGGTCTGCCTATATTTACTGAGATATTTAAATCGGGATAAACTTCGTCGTTATCAATACTCGAGAGAAAATCAATAACCTCATCTTGCATATTACATTTTATTGGGGAATCCTTACCAAAAGAATTAAAATGGCTGCTAAAAACAGCACTAATTTCTTTCTCTTCCGTAAATAGTTCGGACTTATTTTTGGGGCCGGTTCATAATCTGTTGAGGGGCAATACTATTATTTTTGCCTTTTAAAATATCCCAAAATCCTCTTACTTTATTGGACGAGTTCACACATTTATCATGAAATTCTTTCAATTTTAGGGTGTTTTCTTTTCTTTTGATAGTTTCTTGGACCTTAGCTTTTCGCACACGATAAGTGTCAGATAAGATCTTACCAGTCTCACAGTCGTGATTTTTGTCATGAATTCTTTTCAAACGATTACTTTCCCTTCTGTTTTTAATGAGAATGTCAAGTTCGTTGTCCCAGAACTTACGATACCGATTTGATTTATTAACTTTATCGATAGAAAATTTAGCGGCATCAAGGACGGACTTTTTCCAGTTATCCCAAATTGTATTGATATCCGAAGACATTTTAAAAATGTGCTCAGATGCCTTAAAATTATCTTTTAAAGTTTTTTGAAAAATATTCCAATCAGTTTTATCGTTTATTTTCCAAATGAAGGCCGGTTTCTTAGGTTCGTTTTTTATTTTCCGGGGGTTAGTTTTTAATTCGGTTCGTATAATGACATGATCACTGTGTAGATCAAAAATGCCATTTGTTTCTAGTATAACACGTGATACGTTACGGCTCAGGTTTTTAGAGAGAAGAACATAATCGATTGCGGACCTTTAGTTATTCAAAATACGAGTATAAAGTCCCTCACAAACGGGGAATAAGTCACTCGCATCAATAAACTGTCGAAGCCTTTTTCCGTTATAGGAGGCTAATTCACACATGATGTTAAAATTTGTGGTTTGACACTTTTTGATGCATTTTCCGTTAAAATCACCATAAGTA